CTTGCGGCCAGGGGGGCATTCTTAAATAACCTCCAAAAATACACAATCAGATGCACACGCCTTCCATAAACAATACGCTCTGATTTACCATACTTGGCACTTTAACCAACGTTTGTTACGTAATAATTTCTTCAGTAGAGCGTGACGTGCTTTGAAGAAACACTGTAAAAACATGACATCAAAATTTACATGAAATTAAAGTGCTTCTGTGCCGAGGTTAAAGTTGTCTCGCGGTCCCCTTAAGATCGCTTCACGGACCCCTGAGCGACCGCGGACCCTAGTTTGAGAACTAATGCGCTAGACCAGGGTGGTCCAAGGTTGACCGCCTCGCGGGCCACACTATTATTTTTGTATTGATCGCGGTCCACAACAGTGCCAAGAATAGGTGAACAGTGTAATACAAAACAAACACGTTTATTGTCCAAACACATTGATCATTATTTGTCATTTATCAAGCTAAAACATGCAAAAACCACCAAAGAACTCAATAAAACGTGCAAATATCTTACTAAATCTACATTTACTACAGAAGGTGTCATAAGGAGAAATTGCCGTTTCAGACTCTTACCGACCCAACTTACAGAGATATCAAGCAAGCGGTATTTTCCATCCCATTATCCAGTCAGAAATCTGTTTGAATTCGTCAGCTTTCTTTTCAAACCCATGTTTACACAATAACTGCAAATTGATTGATTGCCGAATTTTATCGAATTTGGAAGGGTAATTACTAAACTTTCTTACGTATAGGCAGCATTTCTTGTAATACGGTTTAGCCTGGTTGTAAAAAACCATCCGACAGGAATTGTATTCTTCGGCTATAACATTACTATTTAGTTATCAGGCATATCTGACCTAGGCTAATAGATTCCTCATTCGATTTTTAGTTTTCTATGGAGTCTATTTTGTTAGCAGATATTCACGACTAAAAAGATAGAAAGCTAATAAACTATTTAGACTAGCCAAGCACATTATTCAACTTTGCAGTAATCAATTCATTGACACTAGTGATATAACAATATGTCAAAAGATTTTTCTGGTTATTTTTATGGCGAAACAACACCAAATGCGATTTTTGTTTAAATTCCCGCAAATGCGCCGCGGGCCACAGATAATGAAGCGGCGGGCCACATGTGGTCCGCGGGCCTGGGTTTGGACCACCCTGCGCTAGACTAACTCCCAATCCTTCCTCAATGCCTTTGCACTAGTGGACCCGTATAATGTTAGGATGTTGTAGCAGGAATAAAAATAGCTTGAATTACATAATACAGTGATAATGAATAAAAACCAATTTAATCGACTGAATTAAGCATAAAATGTGAAATCTATTCATTAATAAGAAGAAAATTATTATTATTGAAGTCATGGTTATCTTTAGTAATGGTATCAAAATGTGTCGTTCACCAGTTGTAGCATTTGCAAAGAAAACCCACTAAATATATGCAGATGAAACTAGGCGATTTGATTACATGACCATGGCTGGTTGTCGTTTGACTTGTTGTTGCAACCACACATTCTTTAACTGGAGGAATGTATGGACTTGTAATATTAACTGGTACAAATGCCTGAACGATCTGAAATACAAGGACAAAATTTGCTTAAATAATCACATACGACACACTCCTCAACCAAATTGTTTTCAAAAAGTTAATATAATTTATTTTTCCAAATTTGTAACGCTTCTGGTATATACAGGTTAAAATCAAATCAAAATTGAGGATTTCTAATTGAACAATGCAACTCAGCTAATTTTTTGTGGCCCTAAATTTTTCAAATAATTTCTTATAATATTTACATCGAAACTTACTGATTTAGTTTGGTTTGCTGGAACGCACAACTCCACGTGTCGTGCTGAGTTATAAAAACTTTCAAAGTTTGTGATGTTTTGCTGATTCCAGTCGAGCTGCAATAAATAATGTAATTTTCACATATTTTGTTTATATTATTAAATTTGGAAATGAAGAATTATCTGTTTTAGTTCAATTCAAGAGTCTTGCTGCACAGGTATGTAAGTGTGCAGCAAGACTCTTGAATTTAATAGAATCTTCACTTCATTTTCACTCTTGTTATACGCATACGGATCCACCAGCGCAAATGCATAAAGCAAGGAAAGGTAGTTAGTTTCACGTAACCCCAACTGTTAGTTATTTCTGTTTTAGATATGGGAATATTACACGCATTGGGGTTTGCACCGCGCATGCCTCACTTACCTGTACTCTCTTCTCAACGGGTAAATCCAGCGTTAAATCAATCCTCCATCCTATTTCATTCCCAATGATAACCGAATTTCTTTAGGAGCAATCAAGACTGCCATGGATGCTTACAAATAAGTACTAACAAAGCGTAATATAATTTGTTGCATGGTTTAATGAAACTATTATCCGTAATCGGCTAAGAAATACAGAACAATGTCCCCCCGTTCTGCAATTAGGCGAGAGGCGGGACAGGATGTGTGTGACAGATGAAAATACTTTATACTGTACTAATTGGACACGTAGTGGACATAACGATCGTTTCAATATTATGTTGTTGTTGTTCTTGTTCTTGTTATCCTTGTTGTTGTTCTTTGACACGTTTTTAAAAAGTCGCTTTTCTCTTCGAATACTGGACCAATTGCTTTGAAATTTTCAGTGGTTGAAGATAAAATTTTTCTCCAGAAGGCTATTACTTTTTTTTTCGCTATGACGTCATCAAAATTATTGCCATTGGGTGGCGCTACGTGTCCATATATTTGAGCATAGCTCTCTTGTTATATTACAGTAAGCTGTCTCTAATCTTACTTCGCTCATGTATTCTAAAAGCGTATTTCCGGCGACATCTTCTGGTCCAGTCAGGATGTAATGAGAAAGATGATCTCCGGCAGTGTTGTTTTTCCTGCAATAGTCAATTTTTTATGAGGATGCAGCTATTCTCAAAATTCAAACCATGATTGTGGACAAAAAGTGGATCTATGGATCCTTTTTGTATCATGTTGTTGTTGTTTGTATTCTTCTCTTGTTTTGAAATAATCGCTTTTTTTTATAAACTACTGGACCAATTGCTTTTTAAGGATTGTTGTTGTCGCCAGAAAGCAATTACTTTTCTTATTGGCTCTGTGGGATTCGTTTTTTACTTCGAAGATTTTCGAATATTCGAAATTAAAATCGCACTCAGCGATCCAATGCTTGTTGTAGGATACAGGTAGCGGTACTGTAAAAAATTTTATGATACAGTTGTGACTCGAGTCAATTGGTATTTTGATTCAAACTCAGATCGGACATATGAATCATCATCGACATTGGGTACCATGAAAACTAGGATGATCCGCCGTACCGAATCCTGGGGCAGATAGTGGTAAGTTACGGTAGTTGTTCCACCGTTTCAGCGTCGTTCAGAATAGTAGGGGAGTGTGGATAAAAAGTTTCGTTTTGGACTCCGTGTCCTTATATTTAAGCTTAGGTCTATTGATATATATGAATAAATTGATCTTACTTTTTTATCTGTTTTAGATCAATTCCTAAGTATGGCCACGAAACGTATTGAGTGACAGTTGATAGGCAAAAAGATAAATCAAATTTTGGATAGTATGATACAAATGCAACACACATCTCTCCGTAGTACCATATCTCCCTACAAAGAACAAATGCAAAATTTCAGCATTAGAGTAAATATTTATAATTTTTTGAAAAACTACCGTCGTCAATTCAAGTGTAATAAGATAAATAATGTTGGATTTTGAAATTGTAATTGTAAATATTAAAAAATAGTATACCAGTTTGGATTGCTTGACGTGTTGAGGCAGTATAATATAGGAGGAATTATTACATTGAATGACTGGTTGTTTTACGTAATAACTAACCTCCGTCATTACTGTTCGACCCTTTGTGGTATAATCACATTCTATTTGTAAAGAGTCTGTACTTTTCACGATAATCCCTGGATTGAAATGTCGCGCTTCTTGATAATTGAAATCGTAATTCTCATCATTGCCTAAGTACGGAAGCTCAACGCCATTTCTGTATAAAACAATTACATTCAGAACTCTACCCGTGCCATGATAGGATAGAATTTGAAAGGTTCGACTTCATCGATGTAATATAGAGTTGCATCGGATAGCAGTCATAAGAGGTGACCTGATGTTCAGACGACACAACATGAACCAAGAGAATCAAAAGTAATAAACAATTGATTCTAAGTCAGTTTTCGAAAAATACGATCGGGAGTAATCAATGAGCAGTAGTTCGCGAATTAGTAATTAGCAGAGGCAATTGGGTTGCTTTTTCAAATAGATCAACTACTCTACCTCATGTGTCTCAATCTTAATTTCCTCCCAGCAAGATGAGTATGCAGAACAACACTGAACACAGTAACGTTATTAACCCCGGAGTCAACCATTCTCTAAATAGGAAATATTAGTGATTTGTAACTGCAGTCTTTACTTGGTACAATAAAAATTCTTATTATTAAATTCGGTAACCTATTTCTTACATTAGCGATACATGCGTCAGAACAATGTCCTATGCTCTTAAAACTCTCCGCACCCGGGGGGATGAAATGCTGAAGACTATTAACTAAATTTCCGATTTCAATGATGCCAATAGGCTTGCACGTAATTTACAGATTTACGGAATTACGGAATTATTTCGAGTTACGGAAGGGAAGTTACGAATTACGTAAAGTCGTAAATATTGGTCGAGCACTTTCACAATTGAAACGAGCTCTCTTCAAAGCAGTCAATTCCGTCGATTGTAAAAAGTGAAAGTTTAAAAAGTAGAAGAAGTTAGAGCTTCGGTATTTGCAGCCGTTTTTCTCACTTTTCTCTCTCTTGCCAAAACGTCACCGTGATAATTAATGTCGCGTTTATCAAACAGCGATATGACGACGGGAAAGAAATTGCGTAATGAACCAACGCAACTTCGTCTTTTCGGCATCGGTAAAGCGATTGAGACGGCAGAGAAACAACAATATGACGGGATTTCCCACGATCCGGTAAAAATCCTTTGCGGACCGTTGACGGTCCGCGGACCGGCGGTTGGGAACCACTGTTTTAGAATACTTGAATCGAATCCAGAATCCTATTTTTTTTTATAGTTACCCGTATTTAAATAGTGGGATTTCTCCACCACAATGCATGATTAAAATTTGAAAAAAAAAGCTAAATTGTAGCCTAAATGTTTAATGTATAACTATCTTTGTGCAGTATTTAATTGAAAATGTCCTGATCATTGGATTATATTTAACCAAGGCAACGAGATTTAAGAATTTCGACAATCGTTTTTTTGTTTCAACAGTTCAATATTCTCAATTTAACTACTATCAAATATCAAGTATGAGCCAGTGTGTTTATTCTGTGCGAGAACCATTTTCGGAATTGGTAATCGGAATAACGTCAATAAGTCGGCATCAATGATTATTATAAAATGCTGACTAGGTAGTAAAGTCGAATAATGTTAAAAACGGTGCAATAACAAGTCTTCGTCGCGAGGCAAGCGCAAGTATTATCAAACGAGAGAATACGCTCGTCGTGGCATTGATAAATTGGAAACCAGACATTTATTTTTAATACGATTTAAAAAAAGTCAACTATCGTTTCATAAATATCCGTATACCAGTGTCGGTAATGATAAAATTGATCGCATAAAATTGGGACGGTTAATTTGCGAAGGTGATAAAGGAAATCAAAGCTAGCACAAAAGATAAAAATCAGAATAAAATTAATTTGAATTCACTCTTGTCGTAACATCTGTCGCCGGCGTGTAGTACTGCCAGGAATATGAAAACCCAAACTCGATGTCCCAATCGAAAATGAAGTGGATTCAATTGGTTGTTATGATAGGTTTAAATGTGTGAAAAAATATCGCAATCACGGGGTCATTACGTAACCGATTTTGCCGTAATTACGGAATTGATTTTTGTCAATTACGTGCAAGCCTAGATGCCAATTTCATATTTCCTCAATGTTGAAGTGTAAGTAAATCTGATTCCAGAACTGTCACGTACTCCTAAAATTAAAAAGCGTGTCCCATCATTGCTCAGTCGGTGTATAAATGATAAAAGTGAAGACATTGAAGTATTACGTAAAATAACAAGAAAGCAATACTCGAGTCTATGGACACGAAAGCCGAAACGATGTGGTATTAAATTATTTACAGTGCCGGTAGTCTGGCTATCAGATAGCTGAATGAGATCGCGGAACCGCAACTCGGTGCACAATTATTATTTTTGGTGGCGTCATCAGACAAAGCTACGTGAAAAAACAATCTACAGAAACCACAAGAAATTTTAAAAATAATTAAAGTAATAGCATTCTAGAGACAACAACAATCTTAAACCGCTGAAAATTTCAAAGCAGCTGGCCCTGTGTTTAACGAGGAAAGCAATTTTTTCACAACAAAAACAATAATGAGAATACTTATAGCAAAGCAATCCATATTTATGCATCATATTTATAACAGGCCAATACCATTCAGAATGTACAAACAAAACATTTCAACCTAGTATATCTGCCAAAAAAAGTTTTTTTTCGGAGGTCAAGTAGTTCTCCATCCATCGTAAAAGTTGATTTAGATTCATCTTTATTAAATTATTGACTGTAGGAAACATAATAAAAAAAAGTTTGAATGTGTGGTAAATATGTAACTGAATATACTTTACGGACAGATGAATTTATCAGATATCACATTCGGATTATCGTAGTGTGTTTCCATCTGTATGTACACTGGATCTCCCGGTCCGCCCACAGATAAGCCAGCTTCTTCTGAGTATACCATTTCCTGAAAACGACCAGATTTACAAATCTATCTATGATGTCATCAGATATGATTAAATATTTATATAATGAATATATATGTGAAATGGTGACAAATAAAATTATATATTGTGTGTTACCTGACTTATTATTTCATAGTTCACAAAACAGACAAAAACTACAATATATATGCACGACTGGGTATACGCAAAAAGTGTTTGGAATCATAATAACTACACGGAAACGCTATATATGTTATGGGTATTTGAGATGTTTATAGCGTTATTCAACTGATCAATTATTAAATGGTTTTTGATACCAAACTGCCAAGCAAAAAAATCGATAAACAGTAGGCCTACTTAAATACGTTACCTCTGCTCCAACTGCCCATTCAAGAATGATAACCGAGCAAGTGGCAAAATGAGCCATATTTGATGAGTAACAACGGGCGTCATGTTCCAGTTCTGTTTCGTTCTGAAATTGATTTCAAAAAATTTGTAAAAAATAACATTAATACAAAGTATTATATTCATATAATCCATGATATGAATAAGGTTTTATGGTGCTATAAGCCTATAATATTATCCTAACTTATACATAATTAAATAAATAATACGCTGAATGACAAATAGCGATCGACACTGTTCTCAAAGAGATAACTTTGAAATTGCCTAAATATTTTCCCAAAACGTAAATGATATGATATATCGCTTCTTTATTAAACGAAAAGACGGAAGGATGAAAATTTAAATGAATAAATAAGTCACCGCTAGCATGTCTCCACATCTGTAAATAATTATGTGATGTACGTAGAGTTCATTTCCAGTTTGGATGATCGGTTCCCACTGTAGAGTAAAATGAAAAAAATATCAACAAAAGTTATGAAACTTATAGGTTCCATGTATTACTTATAAATATATATATATATATATTCGAAGATTGACCACTGAGTGAACGAATTGCTAACTAAGCATTAAATAAATATATATAGACATTTTAAAATTATTCTCTTTATTGGAAGATTGACCACTGAGTGAACGAATGCTGACATAGCATTAAATATATATAAACGTTTTAAGAAATCTTTACTGAAATACTAGTTATGTTTGTCGTTTGTCATTGTTGATAATTCTGGCTAATATAATCGGAGCTTGAAAAATTAACCTCATCTTCAAATGAACATTTCCTAAATCTGGGCTCTCGCGGTATCAAGACAGTTATAAGTAATGACACGTTACTAAAGTTAAGAGACATAACCAATTCTCTATAACAGTGAAAAATATTTATGGTGCACTGAGTAAGGGTAAAACGATACGATATGGTCCAAATTGTGGCACGTACCCTTGACATTTTACAAAACGGTATATATACCTGGTTTGTAATCCAAGTTTCACCCATCGATTCTTATGTGTCGGAAATTATTGCAGTGGATTCCACGGATAATCGACACAAGAATCGATTTCTCTATTCTTAGTAATAACGCGTTGAAGTCTAATTGGCATACTAAATAAATAATGATGGTAATACCTTAACAATATGCTGTTTTCCACCAAAATCCGGAAGCTTATAGAGTTTGCAATTGTAATACGTATCTTCTGATGGAATGGTAAATTCTGTTGCAAGAACCTCAAACGTGTTGTAGTCAGGCCCGACTGGCAGTCCGTTTTGAGCTCTGGAAGATTGCAGAAAAAACATGCTTTGCACTCCTGAATTGAAATAATTACATTCAGTATCTAGGAAGTCTTACAGCAAATTTTAGGCATGAGTAATTTGGAGAGCTTTGGGGAATATATATAAATTCAGAATTCACAGATACGTTTCACTGGAATACAAACATGGCTTCTGACGAGGAAAGTCAATTCTATTAGACAATAAATTATAATTTTTTTTTACAACGGATATCGCACAAAGTAATTGATGTATTGGGTTATAATAGTGATCCACGATGATCCACGATGAACTTCTGCTATAAATAAATCTTCTTATAATGTTAAAATAGATAGCTTATAAATGTTTGCCTGTTTTGTGGTTGATTCACTTATTTTTACACACGGGATACTTAAGCGTAGCACCGTAGCCTAATTCATATTGCATCGCAACACAACACAACTATGCAAGTATGAACAATACCTCTTTTGTTTCCATGATAATCACCGGGAGCAAGATCGTCTCCTGGTGGATCATTGTCGCCATATGCCCAAATTAATTTTTCCGTATTTGACTACATTTAGAAACGGAACAATTACATTTATAGTTTACATTTATAGTTACATTTATTATTTATATCGTGTAACGATCAATATTTTCCCATTTCACTGATAGTCATACCACGGGTCATTTAACATCTATTATGACGTCAACCAGATGTCACGTGCCCAGGGACCGCGTTTTACGGACTCAGACTCAAGGCCAGTTCGTTGTTTCAGGCTGCGCTTTGCATTTGGTAGCGCCTTTCTAGTTTAGATTTTAGGTCAGAGTAGTGTTTAGATTCTGAATTTTCTTTACCGTCAAGGGATTGTCTATTTAAGCTTATTATTGAATAGTAAACTGCTTTTTCATTCACTTGGTCTATGTTAATCAAGCATGTTTGTCCTACAGAGGTAGACTTGTTGTTGGTAACCCCAAAATTCTTTGGAATGTACGACATTCTGCGTACAGATTTAAGCTTATTCGCGCGTAATTGTTGTCGTATTGTCGTTTGTTCCTCAAGAATTGAATTACAGGAACCGAATTAATCATATTGGAATAAACTTCATACATTACAAGTCGGTAGCAATCATATTGGAGTATTAGATTGGACGAAGGAATTTACGAATACAGCCAGCTACATAGTCTACAGGCCGACCATCTCGGTCGAAACGTACTTGTCGCCTTCACAGCTTATCAGGTTAAAGTGTATCATTTACATATTCTAATATTAAAATATAAGAATAAAGTTTTGTACCGTAATCTCTCTATCATAACCACTCTCGCAGGCAGCAATCTGACGTGAAAATTTATACATTGTCCACCCATTTGATTCTGCACCTCCCAGTACTTCAATATTTTGTTTAGGGTCAAGAGGTGGGTAAGTGTTAGATGAATCTCCATGCCTGTCCTGCAAAAAAAAGTTTCATGTAAAATTTGATATAGATACCAATGGGGCATTTTCAAAAATAAGTTAACTGAGTTTCTCTCATATTTAATTCAATACTTTATTACAAACGTTTTTATATTTATTTTTTATATTATATTTTATCTTATAATTAAGTCATAATTTTTCAGCCACTTAGGAAATATTTGAATAAGTATTGTATAGGAAAATACAAAAGTGTCCTATTAAGCCAAATATACATTGCAGTGTATATACCGTCACTGTAGGAATTCCATTTGTCACCCATCCTACAATTATATCAGATGCTGTCATAGCTCCGTTTGGTGAAAATCCGATTCCAATCCATCCCGTTGTCTGTCCAATCACCTGAAAGAGAATAATTAGTAACAAACTAAATAAATTGATAAAATATATGACTATGTTCATTGCGTTTATAGCAAACATATTGGTTTAATTAATGGCAGAAATACCAGACACAGAGATCAAGTTTATGAAAAAAAGATAACTTTTAAATCGTACAAATCACATATATATACCCTCACTGTAATTGAAACATTTTTTGTTTTTTGAATTCAAAACTAAGCCATATAACAGCATTTAATTTATTCAAGAATGAACTTAATTTTAACAATACTTGCTTCAAAAGTAATATGAATGTCATCAAATTTCCAATACAATAAAATGTTCCCAGATTGCAACGTTGCAGAATGTGTATAACTCTCACTTGGACTCATTTTACTCTGTACACCCGCCGCCAATACCGCGATACATGTATAAAAAAGCACTAACTGTACCATTCTATGCGTCAACGTCTATTATATAATCAAAATTAAATAAAAACATATTTTTTTGCATCTTGTTTATGTATGGAGATTCTTTGTAGTTTTAACCACACCTCGTACATCGACGGTGAAGATGCATAGATGAGATAACACTTGCACATTCGAATAGTTATTACTTATCGATTTCAATCGGTAAGTATGTTGATAGTTATTTGTTTGTCTGTATGTCTGTTTGTTTGTCTGTTAGATGAACGCGATATCTCACGAAAGCGAGATTGAGATTTTGCATGTGCATTCATCTTATCTCGGACCAGAAGCCTATTGATTTTGGGCAAATTATGTCGTATAATTAGCGAGTTATTGATTAATTAGTGATGGGGCACAAGGTGTCACTATGGAGTGGGAGCGCTGTTTTGGGGATCCCCTACTTTCGATCGATAAGTCTTCGGTCTCTGACCGATATTCTCGTTGAAATATTGAATAGTAGTTACAATAGAGAGTATGAATTATTATGTGTCAATTTTTCAAATCATCGTAGCATGATGCTCATACGCGGCTGCTTTTGAGAAGAAAGAAGATCGCTGTATTTCGTTGGCCATATCAAAATCTCAGCATGTAACGGGCATAAGAAATTGGCAAGTAAAATGGGGTCAGTATTCAGTCAGTGGAAGTTTGTGATTCTACTAGTAGTTATCATTGTATTTAAAGTTGAGGCAACGTAAATTGAGATCGATTAAAAACGGATTCTGAAAAATGAGCAGCATCTCTTTTGAGAAAAATGAAAATATTTACTACTCCGAGTATATTCACCATCTGCACATTTCGGATAACTTAGTACCAGAGTTTTTGTTCAATAAACAAATTTATAGTATAGATAGATGTATAGGATAAGATTTGATACCTGACTAATGCAATGCTGTAAAATAAAGTACCAGCAGATAAACGTGACATCCCGTGTATCTGTAGATGTATAAATTAGAGTAGCCTAGTGGATTTTTCCATCTTTTGAATAGGATTTTTATAATAGGAAAGTCTTCTTCTGGTTGTGGCTTCGATTGAAGGCGTGCACCACGAGGAGAAAGTCTTCATAATAAAAGGATAGATTGTTTAGAGGTTGTAAACCGTGGACAAAGTTCACGCGCACAACATGCAGGCAGCGCGTGGCATAGCTGTGAAGTACACGACATCAAACTCATGGGATCTCAAATTGACCAACGTAACTGAGCGCCAATAAATTTCCGGTGTTATATTTTTAACCGGTAATGAGGTACTGATATATACCGCATTTGCTCGTTTTGAAGCCCAGGCCGATATTTTTAAATTAAACTCACTAACCGGGCCCTTATTCAAGCACGGGCGCTTGTTATTTTTAAAGTAAAATTATACACAAAAATTACGGAATTTTTGAAGACAAATATTTCACGGCATTAATCCTTTTTCCATGTCATTTTATTTACGTCAAACGCAAATTATTCACGTCTTAAGAGTAATTCCCTCATATTACCCGTAGTTTATATTATTAACAAGAAACAACAAATCAAAAGAAGAAAAGTTTTGCGACGCCCTATCAATATTGAAACGACCCACTTGGGCGTCGCGACGGTAATCAATGCTATCTGTTGTGTAATTGGACGCATAAGGCGTGGGTGTTATCTACCAGCGCTTAAAATTCAACAGCGTTGTGACAAAGGCGCTTCTTATTTCATATTGTTCTCTACCACTGAAAATTCAGCTTTTATATCGGGTGGGTATTCAAACGGGCCCTTATTAATCAATATCGGGCGGTTAAACGAGCATATACGGTACTTGCATATAGGCTATCCATATATCATGTAACACACTATTACCAATTGTATGGACCCCATTTTATATTAATACTTAACAGTCTTCCAAACTATTATATCTATCTAACATGAAATATAGCATGGATACTACTTCTTATGCTTAGTTTAACGCAATGTTTCTGAGCCTGGGTTTGATCGAACCCCCTGGGGTTTGGTGAAGCTGTTCCAGGGGTTTGACGAAGATACTCTGGAATTTTATTTTTATTTCTTCTACTCATGTAACCTTATACCTCACCACAGATATCCAAACTATCACATTTAGCTTAGTTTCGCACAGATGTAAGTTTTATTGACTTTTCCCCGACCCGTGACTTTTGAAATAGTCTTCGTATTCTTTACTCTTGCAAATTTTTTTATGCCTGTCATGATAGTGTTTATAAGTGCTGTCACCTGTTTCAAACCATCCTTTTTTAAACATTATTTAGCCATATGACGCTTACAGGTGCTGGCAGATAATTTATTCCAGTTTATAGCAGCGTTTGCGATACTAATTCGGTAATACTGCAACTAAACTAAAGCTATTCGGAAGACGTATTGACAATTAAGTTATTTAATTTAGTATAAACACAACAATACGCCATTGATATTGTCTGTCCGTTAGATATAACGTTTACATCGGTAGGATTCGAAATTAAAAAAAAAACAGGTTCTGTTTTACATTAAACTCATTTCCAAAAGATGTTTCCACATTATAGGAATTGTAAATATGTCACTACAAACATTATATATCATCATGACACGCTCTATATGAATCTAAAACGTAATTTTCGTAGTCGTAAGCTGCCCTTTACGCTACCCTTTTGCTTTGGCCGACTAACGACTAAAACAAAAAAGGGAAACGGGTTTGCTGATTATCACGAGGTTTCTAGAACCTCTTAAACCCCATAACTGGTCATATACTGTATTAGTATATGTAGTAGCCTACTCTTCCGCTCGCATCCTGTTAGCTTCATGACATGCAAGTAATGTAAAATCGTATACTATCGAAATAAATAATTACCCAAGAGTTGATCTAAGAGTTTACCCAAAAGTTGACATAAGAGTTAACTAGGTAAGGTGGTTTGCACTATGGCCTACTTTATTATATATTTGTCAGCATTTCACTAGCAGTACTCCCGCTATGTTGTTTGTATTGCGTCAATTTTGCTTATAAATAGTATCTGTATAGCAGATATCCTATTTGGATATATGCTTTGACTGTGTTGTCAATTTTAAATATTTTTGATGTCTTTCAATATAGTTAAATAAAATTGGGTGCCTTGATATGGTTAAACTTTCCTTTTATCTGACCCAACGAGATATATTCTTGTTGAAAACATTTACCATAAAACAAGCAGGGGTATGAATAAGTATATTTTTACAAATATCATGTTCAAAATTTTTTTAAAATTCAGTCGTTCGATCTTAAATCATTTTCAAATCATCAATATTCATTGAGATTTTACACTAAATTTTATACGCCATGAGTTATTTATACTGGCTTTAAAGGTAGATTTCCGTTGTTTATCGTTTGCATAAATTAACTTACTATGAATTTATGAATTTCGACCTAGCAAAAATCGACCGCAACTGGTTTATTGCCGTTGATGACACCGCCATGGGAAATTGTAATTTTGCTATTTGAACATAAGGCAAAGGTGAGTTAGTTACTCGCTCTACTTTTGTACAGCTCTACTTTTGGACTTCAAGTGACACAACTATGACAAATATCAGTATCTTTGAATATCATTTGTCAGACTGGGTGTACGATAAACTTATTACCCGCGGCAGTACATTTTCTATTCTATGTGTATGGTGATTTCTCCATGACGAGCAAGAATGATTTGCCGTCGAACACATTTCCCAATGACAAAATGATAGAAAACGGTGGACAAAGTAATCATGTATTCAAAATAGCGCCATAGCAATTCTTGCGGTATCTAAGAATCTTGCCAGAAGTGTTTTTACCAAATGGGAAATTAAAATTAATCAAAATACTATATCTCTTCGAGTATTGAGTATTGCCACCATGGTAAAAAACAATTTTTTAAATTAAACTTACTGATTTTTACTGCATGAAAGGCGGTGGAAGGTTGGATTTAATCCAAGTACATTTTAATTTCGTTTTCTGACATCTTAGTATGTATTGACGATGATCAAGGTATGTCTGCTTGAGGAAGTATCATGTGCTTGCTGATCTTATTCGCAGAAAACAGGCTAAACACGCGATTGGAAATATATTATGTGTTAGTAAATTTTCACGCAATAAAGAGTCCTGTAAGAATCTTGGATGAAAATGCCAAATACTTCATTTATTATACTTCAATACTTGTTATATATTATCGACCGTTAATCTAGAAACATCTTTTTACTCAACTTCCTCACTAAGCTATTGTAGCGAATGTGAAATTTACCTATGGATTTCAATGTATTTGACCATCTGCATAACAGAATGTCAAATTTGGGAAAATATGGCATTTTATCCTGATGATGATTTATCGGGGCAAAGACTTTACTCTTTATTCAGAACTTTTTTATAGTGGCCGATCTGTGACGGGTTTCTGGCCTCCAATCGAAAATATTGATTTTTTTCATGTTTACGCTGATTTGGATTGCAACAGTATAACTGGTATTGAGGCCTAAGTGTATGTAATGTGATCCTGGAGCTTCTGTCCCTATATGGTCCTCTCTGGACACGCCCTTTTTAGTTTCAAATTAATTGGTTGCTAAACTACAAATATAGAGGAAAATGAAAAACTTTATACCTACTTGGAAAATATTCAAACTCTTACGAAACCCACTTATGATTGTAACTTGTGTACAAATTGCTAATCAGAAAACCCTCGCATGATAGGAGAAATTAGTCAACCCCTGTGCTCTGGAACTGGCAGAATTGATTTTGTGATAAACTAGAGTCAGGAAAATTCATCTGGCATCTCTACTGTTAACTGTGTGTGCATTTTATGCACGACCTGACATTTTTGCATGACCTAATACAGAATCACGATTTTTTACAGTTGGCGATTGGCAAACTAAAAGGGGTCCACAAACAAAAACGCTGAGAAACACTGGTATATATAGGTATTTTAACTCATTTCTCAAATTAGTTGAAATAATACCAACATGTCATTTTAGCACGACAGGAACACGCATTCCTATCTCGTTACTGCTAACATTTCAAGTCAACTCATCGAACAACCCCTGAATCTTCCTCCCTGTGGTTGGTAGCAGAAACGTGAAATACAAGAACTAATGGGTTTTTTTCGATCCGGTTTCCCTATTACGAAACTGGAATAAAGTTCATAATTGAGAACAGTGATTCACAATCATATGTAGATGAAACATGCAAAATAATGCAGTTGTCTAGTTTATAAAATTATAAGCTTGTTTTTATTTTGTTATGCAAACTTGCTACTGACGATCTCTCTTTCATCCTCGTCGGTTCTATTGTTTATTCTACTGTTTAATACTAATGAATACGAAAGAATAAATTTATGTCGATTACTTAGTCAGGGGGGAAAACTGGGAATATGAGAGTTTCGTTACTATATTATTTTTTAAGAAAAGGATATTTTCCAATCAATATTACAAAGGCGATTTGAAAGCCACGGTTTAATGTATTGGAAAGAACAATATTATATATAGAAAACAGATGAATATATTGATGTGTCTTCTGAATAATTTGTTATCTACAGAATTATATTGTGTGGATATTAAGTTTTTATAATTTTGAAGGTATTTTTATCTTGTGCGTTTCAGAGACGTTCAAACCATGATAATTAAAATCAGTCAAATCGGTATTCAATTAATTAGGGGTGTGTGGCATTTAATACAGGAGGGACAGATACAAATATCTAGGGAAAACCGCAAGCCGCACCGTTACTTAACATATGTTTTCTAAGAGTTGTAGGCGCAAAATTTTTTGGTTTTGATCTTATGACATGCGTAGGTCGCTTCGCACAAGCTAGCTGTTGAGGAAAGGTCAGCATCCTGCGGGCTATATCCGGCCTTTGGAATAAAATAATCCGGCCCGCGATACTTCACTTCAAGTTTAGCGACAAATCGGCGCCTGCAAATTTCCCCCATAATTTAGTTTTATAATCTACGCTCGAGGAGCAGATTATTAGACACAGAGTAGACCTATTGATCGTTTTGTTATTATGTTGTTGTTCTTCATTAATTCTTCTTCTTCTTATCGTTAGGAAAAATAGCATTTCTCTTTAATTACTCGACCAATTGCTTTGGCATTTTCAGTGGTCAAATCTTCAGTGGACTGTATTTTTCGCTGGGAGGCCATTACTTTTTTTAATTTCAAATATTTCTCTGGGCTCTATGAGATTTGTTTTTATATGCTATGACGCCCCCCGAAATGTGTGCATTTTGTGGCGGTTGCACAAACACATGTCTACTCTGCATTAGAGAAATCGATGCATTGTATTGTTGGTATCTATTAAAAATTACCAACAGCGTGCAAAATGTACCAAATTATTTGAAAGAAATTAAATCGATTGGGGAACAAACATTCACATTTTTATAGGACATTTAGTAACCGAAATCATATTAATACTTCTATATCATACTGAAAAGCTCAATTGTATATGAATTCAAGACTGTTCCGCATTAGATATATATATATATATCACAATATTATTGACGTCGGTGACATGATTGACATCTTCCCTTATTTTGATACGAAACAGCGACAATCGTACTTACGAACCCGATCGGATAAAATACATGATGATATTTGTTTAATAAACATTTGATTGAACAGGATGATATTTGTTTAAAAAATATTCAAACACGCCAAACACAGAACATAATATGTTGCAAATATATTTGAAAATGAGAAAACTGAAATGTTTATTTCAAATTGTGTTACCTATTTGTCATGTTGATTCGTAAATTGATGATTTACAAAATATTTTTAAAATTTTAAAGTAATTTTTTTTTGTTGAATTCTAAATGTTTCTTGAGGAGAGTTTTTATACAAACAAATTGATATGTTTGAACTTGAGCATAAAATAAGAAATCTATGTAGGTAACAGTAAAAAGAAATGATCACTGTTGTACAAATTCTTTTAAGATGTATCGTATATAGACGTCTAATTGTTGAAGTACAGATGGATACAAATCATCAAGATTATATAGCTAATCCGAGACGATTTGACGATGTGACCATGGCTAGTTGTAGTAAGTGAAGTGGTCGTTTGACTTGTCGAGGTAACCACACATTCTTTAACTGGAGGGATGTAAGGGCTTGTAATATTGATTGGAACAAATGTCTGAGCAATCTGGAATGCAAAATAAAACTGTGCTTAAATCGTCTATGAACACACTCCTGCATCGAATTTCATTTCTCATAACGTATTCAATATCTATAATATTGGCTGAAAATAATTCAAATTGTGAATTTCTGAATTTAAAATTTCTTGTGTCGTGAAGTGTAATAGTCATTGTTTTTTATGAATTTAATAAAACTTACTGTTTGACTTATATTCGACGGGATACACAAACCCTGTTGTGGTGCTGAGTTATAGAAACTTTCAAAGTTTGTGATGTTTTGTTGGTTCCAATCGAGCTGCAATGAAAATATCAATATGCTATTGTACCAATTTATAGATTTCTTCTTATAGGAATATCACAAGCATCCTAGATCTCCGGGCAAAGATATACCATGTGCACATTATAAGGGGGCTTTGCCTACTTGCTCTATTCGACTGTTGAAGGCTGCATGAAGCCTAATCTTTTTTGCCTTGATGTTTTTAGCGTCACATGCTCAGATTTATGACCTTATAGTAGTTATTTGGACCACCAGGTCTTGGCTTTTATTTTTTCATGCTTGTAATCCTTTCGAGGAGGATTATTTGGATGCGATTATTCAGCAATCGCGTTGTGAGTCTTGTTGAACTTAGTGTAGTTACTCCAGGGCATTTGGTGGAAAACTATTTATTGTCATCTCTCTTTTCCTATTATTTTCACTCGTATGTTCACGCTATAAATTGGACTATTAAAACTCTCTTCCCTGCTAAAAGTGAATTATAGACGAGCACCTTATTTATCCCAGGTGATAATCTGGCTATAGGTTCTTAACTTAATGTTTTTGGGATGTCTAAAGTATTCCAGAGTGGTCCGCCGTTACAACGGCGTTGAAGTGTTTGTTTATCCTTGGTCCATGCATGATCAGAGCTTCCTTATAATCGCGCCTGTGCAAGTTACGGTTGTGCGACAAGTTTGTCATTGCTTTTTTGTCTTTTCCTTGGCAGTGGAGATGACATATTATGCGTAAATTTGCGCTTAAATTACTCTTAAAAAAATCGATGCGTATAAAAAAATCATATTTCATATGTTCGTATGTATATTTGTCATTTTATCATAGTGTGATTTTTTTTGAGCGCAAATGTGTCGAAATTTATAAATATAACTACTTTGTGTTTACTTGGCAGGAAAAGTAATTTGACGGTGCAAGCGAACATCCTTTAGCACGCGAAACACAAAGAAACAATTCCAGACTTTTTAGATTACTACGCGCTTAGGGACAACACTAAAAGGCTGAAGGAAGAAACGGATGAAGTGGAGGGAAAACGGAAGTTGAAGTGCTCCCAAAGGTGAAAAATTAAAAAACACTAAAAGGCTGAACACTAAAAGGAAGAAGTGGATGAAATTTCTTCCGACGGGTAGTTAGGTGGCTGAAGTCACTAAAAAGCTGAACACTAAAAGGAAGAGGTGGATGAAATATTTTCCGACGAATAATGAGGTGGTTGAAGTCACTAAAAAGCTGAACACTAAAAGGAAGAAGTAGATGAAATTTCTTCCGACGAATAATGAGGTGGTTGAAGTCACTAAAAAGCTGAACACTAAAAAGAAGAAGTGGATGAAATTTCTTCCGACGAATAATGAGGTGGTTGAAGTCACTAAAAAGCTGAACACTAAAAGGAAGAAGTGGATGAAATTTTTTCCGACGAATAATGAGGTGGTCGAAGTCACTGCGTGAATTCACGATTGCGTGAATAAAGAATGTTGATTTAAAATCTGAAATAAAGGCATTTCTACGTTGTCGTTTGGCAGCACTCTTGAACGATATTTTACATACGCGACCTGATACCAAAAAAATTGTAAACAATTTTGTGCCCAAGTGCTTTTCGTACCTAGTAGAAGGGAAGACGCTAATTATAATTAATCACCTCAAGTCACCATTTATTTTACAACAAATCAATACCCCGACCAATATCATAGCTAATATCGTTACCGGGAAATTCATAATTTTATTTACGGAATTTGCAAATTCAACACTCCAAAAAAAACGTCTTTGTAACTCATAATTTCCGAAAATGATTTTCTATTCGGGTCATGCATGCGGAGGCTAATAACACCTTTAAAATCTGGTAACTTTATTTTAGATATCTTATTTGGGTTGACGTTTCTACATTTACGGACTAGTGTCGGCACGCTTTTTGCATAATAACAGTGGAAGCCGAGGGTGAATTCTCGCGTAATCCAAGCGATCGATTTACCGGCGTGAATTCCGTGCCCAAGCAAAGCGGTACAGATTATGTGGTATTGTACATACGAATAGTAAAATGGCATTCGAATATTTTAATATTGTATTCGCTATTCGAATATTTTGCACAGCCCTAGACCGGCCATGCTTAAAAACTCATTTCGCAAAGATAGGTAGTGGAAAATGATAGCAAGATTGGAAGCGGTTGTGAACCGCGCTTTGTGAAATTTATATAAATCCATCGGACGGTTAAATATCAGTTATGACGTCATAATACTGCAAAAAAGCAATTTTCTGCGGAACACCCGGAGGTCTCTCGCGGAACTCCGGTGTTCCGCGGAACACCGGTTGAAAATCAATGATCTATAGCAGTGGCCGGCAACCTTTTTTCAGTAACGGACCGGTAAGGCCTGACCAAAATTTTGGCGGACCACCTTTATACAAACGAACTAATCTAATGTAATAAATAATATGCGTTAGAAAATGTATGTTGACAATACATTCAAAAACGAAGGTGATACTATTCACGTAACGTATTTCTTACGTTAAACCCACTTCGATCTTTCGTTTTTGTAATTGCCATTTTAAAAACCCAACCTCACATGAAGATAACAATGGCATTGTACGTTTTCATGTCACCTTTCTGCGGACCAGTGACCTTTCCGCGGACCGGCGATGGGCCGCGGCCCGGTGGTTGCCGACTACTGATCTATAGTATATGAAGGAATTTGCATACAATAAACAATGGAATAACTGTTATCTACAACATGACTATATTACCATGCATTTCATGTTTGCAGATTACTGCGATATATTTTTATATACCATGAGTTACGTTATCAGAATTAAATTAATACGGCAAGCATTTAAAATAGTGCTATCGGTCATAGATTTGAACATTTTTGCGCAACACAAAATCATCCTAGTAAAAGTCCATACTTTTAAATACCAACCATTATCCAAATTATTTGCCAAAAAGCGGGATAAAGTATAAATTATATTTCTGACTTGCGACTTTTCGTGAGTACGTAAATACGAATGGATTTTTTTTATATTCGGGCACTTCAATGTCCGCATATATATCTTTTATTATTTTATAAATACGAAAATATGTATCAAGAATTAATTATAATCGGGCAGTTTACCACACATTTTAAGTCCATGGATCGCCGTTGTATTTTGTAAATACGAAAATAGGAATCAAAAATTAATAATAATTGCCGTGATAATTGCCGGGATTAATAATAGATTGCCGTGATATTGTGCCCGAATATAATTTATTTTGATTCCGTATTTCATTCCTTGAACTTAATATCTGTTTTTATAAATTTTGCAAGCAGTTCACGCACGAAGACTTTGAATAATGATGTATTAGTCAAATCGAAGTCCTGTTAGACCACTGGTTCTCAACCAATGGGCCATGGGCCACTGGTAAGCCTCAGAGGCATTTTGAGGTGGGCCACAAACATATTATAAATTACAAGGTTTGTTGATCTAGAACAGCTAGATATGAAAATATATATATATTAATTTGTTTGCACATTACATCAAAATTAAAAAGAATATAACGAGAATGTCATGGCCTTCAATTCGCCAGGCTCGAACTGAGCATAACATATAAAAAATTAACAAAAAACGAATCCACGAGGACATTGTCTCATAAATACGAACAGAACAAACATTAAATTACCCAATTCCTAATATATTAAATTTTCAAGTATTCCTCACTATCCATCGGAAGAAATTTCATCCACTTCTTCCTTTTAGTGTTCATCTTTTTAGTGACTTCAACCACCTCATTATTCGCCGGAAGAAATTTCATTCACTTCTTCCTTTTAGTGTTCAGCTTTTTAGTGACTTCAACCACCTCATTATTCGTCGGAAAATATTTCATCCACCTCTTCCTTTTAGTGTACAGTTTTTAGTGACTTCAACCACCTCATTATTCGTCGGAAATTTTTTTATCCACTTCTCCCTTTTAGTGTTCAGCTTTTTAGTGACTTCAACCACCTCATCAATCGTCGGAATAAATTTTATCCACTTCTTCTTTTTAGTGTTCAGCTTTTTAGTGACTTCAACCACCTCATCAATCGTCGGAATAAGTTTCATCCACTTCTTCCTTTTAGTGTTCAGCTTTATAGTGACTTCAACCACCTCATTATTCGTCGGAAGAAATTTCATCCACTTTTTCCTTTTAGTGTTCAGCTTTTTAGTGACTTCAACCACATCATTATTCGTCGGAAGAAATTTCATCCACTTTTTCCTTTTAGTGTTCAGCTTTTTAGTGACTTCAACCACCTCATTATTCGTCGGAAAAAATTTCATCCACTTCTTCCTTTTAGTGTTCAGCTTTTTAGTGACTCAACCACCTCATTATTCGTCGGAAGAAATTTCATCCACTTCTTCCTTTTAGTGTTCAGCTTTTTAGTGACTTCAACCACCTCATTATTCGTCGGAAGAAATTTCATCCACTTCTTCCTTTTAGTGTTCAGCTTTTTAGTGACTTCAACCACCTCATTATTCGTCGGAAGAAATTTCATCCACTTCTTCTTTTTAGTGTTCAGCTTTTTAGTGACTTCAACCACCTCATTATTCGTCGGAAGAAATTTCATCCACTTCTTCCTTTAGTGTTCAGCTTTTTAGTGACTTCAACCACCTCATTATTCGTCGGAAGAAATTTCATCCACTTCTTCTTTTTAGTGTTCAGCTTTTTAGTGACTTCAACCACCTCATTATTCGTCGGAAGAAATTTCATCCACTTCTTCTTTTAGTGTTCAGCTTTTTAGTGACTTCAACCACCTCATTATTCGTCGGAAGAAATTTCATCCACTTCTTCCTTTTAGTGTTCAGCTTTTTAGTGACTTCAACCACCTCATTATTCGTCGGAAGAAATTTCATCCACCTCTTCCTTTTAGTGTTCAGCTCTTTAGTGACTTCAGCCACCTAACTACCCGTCGGAAGAAATTTCAATCCACTTCTTCCTTTTAGTGTTTCAGCCTTTTAGTGTTTTTTAATTTTTCACCTTTGGAACACTTCAACTTCCGTTTTCCCTCCACTTCATCCGTTTCTTCCTTCAGCCTTTTAGTGTTGTCCCGCGCTTAGCGAGTAATTGACAAGCTCTGATTTTCAATTCAAAAACACGCGCCAGATTTAGTTTACGAGTTCTATTTTGCACTCTTTTGAAAGGCGACGCAATGCGCTTCACGTTTCGCGTGTATTCACCTCAGAGCTCAAATTGAAAAAACTTTTTCTCAGAAAATTTTTGAATTTCTCTCTTACCAACGCAATGGTAAGAGAGAGAGAGACGTTCAACGTATTTCAAACGTCGACGTATTTCAAACGACCTTTGCCAGATTCTGTTCAATGCAAGCTTTTCAGAAGATGAGTCAATTATGAGTTTCAAAATGGGCTCAGATTGGCAGGAAATAAAAGGTTCAGGCCTAAGTTGATTCATTGCTATTGTTTCCTGGATTCATATGTTTGTTCAACTTTCAACGTCATTAGAGGTGCCATATAAAAGTATAATCAAACTGGACCGGTACATTCTGTGGGTATACACACGATATTTCTTAACGCTCAACGAACGCTGAATCTACAGAAAAACAAAATTTTTAAGTCTAAATTTTCCATATTGGCATGGGCGGGCAAGGAACAACATTATGGATTTGATTCGTACTCTCACAAAAATTGAATGCCGACAAAGCGTGATTTTCAGATAAAAATACTATAACATTTCCCAATACTTCAGATTAGCTATACTCACCTCGTTCATATATTCCAAGAGCGTCTTTCCTGCAACTTCCGTAGGTCCGGACAAGTTGAAATGAGACAGACGATCTCCAACAGTGTTATCAATCCTGCAGAATATTGCTTATTATAGTCTGTGGATACTTTCAAAATACAAACTAAATCTCATATATGAATGAATTGGTCTTACTTCTGTATCTTTGATAAGTCAATTCCTAAGTATGGCCAGGAATCGAACAGACTCACAGTTGATATACAGTAAGATAAATCAATTTTTGGATAGTACGCAACAAACGCCATGCACATTTCTTGCATAGTACCAAGTCCTCCCTACGAAAAAAAACAAAATTTCAACAATAAAATAAATAATTCTACAAGAAACATATTTCACAAACAAATTACAAATATTTTAACGTCGTTGTTGCGATCGGAAAAAAGTAATATTTAGTAGCATCTAGGGCCGATTTTATACGATGAGAGAGAGGCGCCAGGACAGTGATGGTGAACTTTTTTTAATGAATGTGTCAAAAATTATATTTTTACTACGGAAAAGAAGACTGTCGGTCATAGATATTTAATCAATGAGAAACTTGCTGCCGCATGTTTTCTGCGATTTTATGTTTCTGGGGTTAGTTTTGAGCAGCACTCATATCAGGACAGAGGCGATATCTGATACTCGATTTTATGGAATTTACTGCGAAATTGAATTGAATGCGAAAACCTAAATTCGCTTGCATATAAATCACTGTAATGTTTGTATCTTTTGCATTTATTTTTGACTTGGCTGAACACCGAAAAAAAAACGGTGGGCTACTTTTTGATCCGCGGGTCAATGGTTCGCCACGATGTTATTTGTTGGGCCCCTGTTTAGCAATGAATATGATGCATGAAGAATCATCATGGCGTTTTAATAGGTTAGTATTGATAAATATCGGTATTATCTCATATTTAAAAAAAATACAGGCATAAACATACTAAAAACTGTTCAAATATTCATTATATTATATTTTTTACGGTTAAAGGGCAGAGCGTTTATAATTTAGACAAATTAATTTATTTGCCTGTATTTAATATTTTATTAACCTTTAAAGCAGAGGTACTCAACTTCCCAAATGAATGGTCCGCATTTAACCACGAAAGATGTGACGGGCCGCAGAATATTAATGTCATGTATTTATTCTATTTAATTTATTTATAAGTCCGATACTGATGTTTAATATGCTTCTTGTATTCATTTTTATGCATTCTAAAACGTAGTTAATGGATAGAATTCTTAAGTTTGCAGTGACAACTTTTCCCTTAGCAAGAACTGTGACAGAATTTGACAACATAGAAAAAATATATTTATATTCAACAACAACAATGTTTTACAATTTATTTATCCTATTGTAAAGCGCATTTCCGAAGATAGATAGAGGAAGCGATGAGCAAGCTAAGTAACTCAATTTTTACGTAACAATACGTAATTCATCTGTTTTCTGTGATGACACATTCCATAGTCTTATCGTGCGCTGCTAGAGACGAAAAGAATGATACCGAATTGAAAAATCGTTTATATTCGTTACGCCGCAGATATCGTGATATATGTTTGGGTTCATCAAATATCATTGCGGGCCGCAAAATATGCATCGACGGGCGCGGGTTAAGAACCCTTGCTTTAAAGAGTGAATATTTGGTACGAAAACTATGAACCTGATTAAAAAATTGAAGACATATAAGTTTCATGATATTTTAAACCAGCTTTGATCTCGAAGCCTTTTCAAATTACAAGATTGAATGTCAAGGTCACCTGATGCTTAAAAGGGCATACCTTGCCCAATGGTAAATTCGGCCTTTCTCTTGAAATTACTGGACCAAATACTTTAAAATGTTCAGTGGTAAACAATTTTTGTCGGCTCCATACGATTCGCTTCATGACGTCATCAAAATTAAAAATTGCGCACCTTGTGGCGGTTCCGCATTCGCGTGCGTTACGATCTTGTGAAAAGGCGTTTAAGACTGCGGTACCGTTAGTCTACGGTGAAAGATTGCATAACCGTACTACTTCGTTGTGGTATTAGTGTCCATATATTTAAATGTTGCTTTCTTGTTTCAATAATCATTGAATATCGTTTATATGAATTAACTAACCTCTGTCATTACTGTTCGACCTTTTTGTGTTATAATCACATTCCATTTGTAAATAATCAGTACTTTTGATAGTTACTCCTGGGTTGAAATATCTTGCTTCTTGATAATTGAAATCGTAATTCTCATCATTGCCCAAGTAAGGAAGTTCAACGCCATCTCTAAACGAAAGCACAGTACTTTCTATTGTTTTAGGAAAAGTTAAATTTAAAGAATTTTCAAAATGTAAGAATCGTTCTAGATCCTGAAAATACAACATACTGGATAGCAATAGCAATGTTCAAACGTCACCAATGTATATTTAAGGGGGAACAGAAAACTATCGGATGCGCTCTGTACGTCAAATGTCACAATTTTCTGACTTACACAACATGAATTAGAAATATCCAATATGATAAAGATTTCAAAACATATGTTCAAACCGTTTCTAAAAAAAATTGAACAGATCAATTCACTGAAAAAGGATGGCATGAATTAGCAATTGAAAAAAATTATATAATTTTTGCAATTGATAAATCAAGCTACCTAATATGTCTCAATCTCAATTTTCTTCCCGCAAGATGAGAATGAAGAACTACACTGAACGCAGTAACGTTGCTAAGTCCAGATGCCGCCATTCTCTATAAAAATTAAAATCAATTATTTTCGGGCTATTCTAGAAATGAAACTCGTTGACTTGTGACTTACATTTGCAACACATGAGTCAGTACAATGTCCAATGCTGAGGAAACTCTCTACACCAGGAGGGATTAAATGCTGAAGACCATTAACCATATTTCCGACCTGAATAATGCCAATTTCATATTGTCTCAATGTCGAAGTGTAAGTGAATCGAATTCCAGAACTGTCGCGCACACCTAAAAATAAAACAGTTGGCCACGTAAGTATGCCATTCGTATTTAAATAAGAAATAAATTAATCAGTCTTTGCGTTTTTTTATGAATAACAAAGCTTTTGAGCATATTGAGCCAATATTACTCAGAATGCATTTTATAAAACATTTCAAAAAATATTCTCTGTTCGAGAAAGTTTGAAACTTTTAATTTGGAAAGCATTTAGTTTTTTTTTTTCTAATTTTGTTTAGTTGTGATTATATTAGAAAATAGTTTCAGGACAATATAAATATTATAAAAGAAAAATACAGTAAATATGGAAGGAAATTTCGTGCAATTAAAATTTACTCATTCATTAATCCGATCAATAAATCCATATTTATTTTCTATTTTATTATTTTAGTGGTGACAAAAAGTATAATATGTCTCAAATATACTCCAAGAATGTCTACGAATTTTTTACCTGATAATATATTTGGATTATCGTAGTGTGTTTCCAACTGTATGTACACTGGATCTTCTGGTCCACCGACAGGAAAACCAGCTTCCTCGGGGTATATCATTGCCTAAAATATGTTTCAATTTGCATCTCTTTTTAATACGGTGATACAGAAACTAGGAAGACCATGATAAAATAAATGGATTTACTAGGTATAATTCAATATACTTTCAAGAAATGCAGAAACTCTAAAACCCTCACTCATATTTCATAAACACATTACAACAAAAAAAAATATATCTGTTCCATAGTTCAGGCGTAAAAGTGTTTGGATCCTTAAATGCAGCAAAATGTTACCTGATTGCAGATAGATGTGGTTTTAATAATGGTAATAATTTGACTGAAGTGATAATTATTAAAAATATTTTTGATATCCTAATCCGAGAAATAAAAAATAGGGTAGTTAACTTGTTACCCCTGCTCCAACTGCCCATTCAAGAATGATAACCGAGCAAGTGGCAAAATGAGCCATATTTGATGAATAACAACGGGCATCCTGTCCGAGTTCAGATTCGTTCTGAAAACAAATTTAACAAAATTGGTAATTAAATTATACTATTGCGCCATATTTTATACACACCATTCACGAAAATAGTTGTATAATAATTAATATGTATAACTATAGATTTGTTTTATTTGATAAAAAAAAAATTTAAAATGAAAGGGAATCTAAAGCGCTTTCTTAAAACTACTTTAAGTTTAAAATGTCTCACCTCTAGCATGTCACCACATCTGTAAACAATCATGTGATGTACGTGGAGTTCATTTCCAGCTTGAATAATCGGTTCCCACTGCAAAGTAGAAAAAACATTTACGGCATGTAAACATGTATCGGATCACATCGAGAATATGACAACATTGATCCTTTGGTAACTAATGTTTAGTTGAAACAAGCGCAAAAATTCAAAGTAAGCAATGGTAACGTTTGCAATACCTTAACAATATGCTGTTTTCCACCAAAATCCGGAAGCTTATAGAGTTTGCAATTGTAATACGTATCTTCTGATGGGATAGTAAATTCTGTTGCCAGAACCTCAAACGTGTTGTATACAGGTCCGACTGGAAGACCAGTTGGAACTCCGGAAGATTGCAGAAAAAACATGCTTTCTACCCCTGTAGTGAAATAATTATACTCAGTTACTATAGGAAGTTCAACAACAAATAATAATAGGGAGAGAGAATATTATATTGTTAACGAGAATCATCGACAAAAACTTTTATACGCATGGACTGGGTGGAGCGATATGATCATGTGATTCCCAATATCAGCTCAAGCCAAGCTCGCACTTCACAGTATTAGTATTAGTTCACAGCAGAATAAATTGAATAATACAAAGTGGTTAAATTTACGCAATCAGTTTTAGTGAATCTTACTAAATACCAAATAAATTCAAGTGTATACGTTCGCATCTTCAGATTGATATAATTAGGAATATGAGCATATGCCGGAATTAAATATTTTTTGCTATAATATACTTTAACAATTTTTGACAATATATGTATTTTTAGTTAATGATAGTAGAAAATGATTGTATCTCTGAATACTGTAGATCTTCTCGCCTTATATTATTTATTTTTGCTACTACTGCTCACGTTTAAGCCACACCCGTTTACTTAGAACGATCGATGGCTCATGATGTTTGTCTTGACACAATAACGTCTTGATGTTTGTCTTGACACTCAAAATATTATATAAGTTACCACTTTTTAAATGTGTTAAGAAGCGCCTCACTACTTTTCAAAACTTTCGTGATTCACGCAATTTATCATTTTTGATATTTTTGGTATTGCACGATTTTTTATATAATGTCAAGTTAAACAATAGTTCAAATCTTTAAATAAATAAGGAAGCTATAAGTAAATACTTTTACATAGATTTATGCCCCACTTTCCAAAACTGAAATAAGCATAAATGGCACAAAGGTTGCTATCACATGATCGAGAAATGATGTTTTCAATATTATCTCTTATAAATAGTCTTACTAGGGAGAAATATTGGGACGGAGTTTAAACATTAAATGAAAATCCTATTACCCCTTTTTGTTCCATGGTAATCACCCGTGACAAGATCTGTTCCTGTAGGATCGGCGTCGCCATATGCCCAAATTAATTTTTCTGTGTTTGACTACATTTAAAAACAGGATAACAACAGTCAAAAAATAGGTATCATAATATTAAATACCAACTGTATATAATAACAATTTGTACCGTGATCTCTCTATCATAAGCACTCTCACAGGCAGCAATCTGACGTGAAAATTTGTACATTGTCCACCCATTTGATTCTGCACCTCCCAGTACTTCAATATTTTGTTCAGGATCAAGAGGTGGGTAGGTGTTCGATGAACCTCCGTGTCTGTCCTGCACATTGATTAATATAATCATGGTCTATATAGTTATACTATACTATACAAAATGATTTGTTGAAACAACAAGTTTGAAGAGGTTCTTTTATTTGGTTGCATTATTTTATTACAAACGTTTTTATATTAATTTTTGGTTATTATATCAATCTCAACATCGTAGTTATCTTATCACTCGAGAATAAGTAGTAAAACGCGAAGCGTGTAATTTATAAAATAAAATATTGTAGGGTACATACCGTCACTGTAAGAATTCCATTTTTCACCCATCCTACAATTATATCAGATGCTGTCATAGCTCCGTTTGGAGATAATCCGATTCCAATCCATCCCGTTGTCTGTCCAATCACCTGAAAAACATTTTTTGGTAATGAACTAAATATGACTTCGACTTAGGCGGTTATTACAATTGAAACAAACACACAGAAAAATTGAGCAATAAAATATGTTTAACTGATAAATTCAGATATACCACAGTTGCGCTTGCCACATTTAGAAGAAAAACATATTCTCAAATTTAATATCAATTGTTATGATGCCAATCAATATGTTTCAAGATTAAATTTCAGTTTCAATCATACTTGCCTCGAAAGTAATATGAGTGTCATTGAATTTCCAATACAATAAAATGTTTCCAGATCTCAACGTTGCAGAGTGCGTGTAACTCTCACTCGGACTCATTTGACTCTCCACACCCACCGCTAACATCACCATACATATATAAAAAAGCATCCTTTGTATCATTTTAAGCTGAGATGCATATTCACATATCAAATAAAAAGTAAACAAAGTCATTTGTTGCATCTTGTGTATATCATCTGTTGAGATTCTATAGAACTTGCCCAGTCAAGTCTGTTATCGCGTTAAGGCGTTTTATCACCAGTCGATGAAACCACAACTTGTATATTGACGATAAAATAAATTTAGAATAACATGTGTACTACATGTAATACCAGATGTTCTCATAATTACTATAAATTAATGTGCGACGATTAATTGTGGTATAGCTTTTGACATGAGTGCTCTTGAAAGCCTTGTTTCATTTACCCATTAGTTTTTTGTGGCTCTTCATTTCAATTGCAGTTAATTTTCTTCAAATGACGATCCTAATTGAACTATAGAAACAACCTTAGTCATACCTTTATGCGAATCATTTTTCACAAAAGCAAAACTACTAAATTTTTGTCTGCAATAAATACGTTCCAAATCGTGATTCACTCCAAACGATAGGGTTTTCTATAGATTTATGCATTGAATGAGGTATATCGATATTTTCTACTATGTACATATAATGTATACAAAAACTAAAATTTTTTTTTTATTAAACCCAAACTAGTTCACCTTAATTAATAACTCTGCTCAATGTAAGAAACAAGTTCCGACATCCTACCATTGAAGCGTACTTTAAGAATATGTGGGAGTATTTGATTTATCTTCTGTATAAATATACGATTTTTGTGATAAAAAAGGTTTTGGGATTTTTTTTACCCCGATTGTTTACCCAAAATTTCATTGTCTACGATTACCAATCACGAGGTATTTCCACGTGAGTCTTGTTGTAAAGGTATGTGGCAAGAAAAGGAGAAAGTCTCATTTCACGGGGTTCGTTTCTCAGGTTGAATGGATTCGAACACGTAGTTTTATGATTTAATATGCACGTGATTTTTATCTATTTGATAAAATTTATGGACTAATTCAATAATTTTGTTTAGCGTATCACATATATCTCCACAGTAAACCCAAAGTATCTTATGCCACATTTTGAGAAATGAACTTTTTTTTTATCTTCTTTTACTATGGACATGGGGTCATCTATTGGTCGGGGTTTCAATGCTGTATACCTGTTTTAATTTTGACTATAGATAGTGCCTCATAACCCGCCAGCCAGCCCAATCAAATCTAATTTTGGTTGCAAAATATGGCAATTGCGCGTAGTTTTCATTCCAGATGAACTACTATCCTATAAAATATCTATTCCAACAGTGTGTCTGAGTTCACCACTAGACTAATTTGTCTATGGTCTAATAGAAATCAACAGTTTTGTAATTATATATATATATCTTTGCAGGCTCGAAAGCGGACTAAAGGTCCATATCAACCCGGATTGAAGACATTTGAAATGAAAAATAACTTCATTAATTAATACAGAGCAGTCCCACTCGTGATACTCATTACAAAAGTCTATTCCGGACTAAAACCACATTCTGTATTCGCTGTATAATGAAAAGAGAAAATTATTATTTTGCAATAAAACAAATTTGAACAACAAATAGTAAAACGTATAGAAATTGGTGACATCAAGGACATGGTTTCGAATATAAGATCGTGAATCCACAAACGTAGCTAGGCAACAGCAAGGTAATATTTCACATATGCATGTTCTAATCCAAGAGTCGAATATGTTTAAATACTATCAAACACCTATCAATTTTACTACTGTTATGAAACTTACTACACTTTAAAGATTATTTTTCTCGCCCGTATTGGATTTTCTTTTATACAATTCAGAAAATAAAAAACAATTAGCAAACTATCGCACATGAAATCCTCTAGCCTCTGGAATGTTTCTTTTGGGATTTGCTCAACCAAAAAGGTTAAAAATAACTGGGCTACAGTGTATTTTAGCAACCTCTCTCATTTCACTAAGTGTCATATATTTGGGATTGGAGGAGCAGCATATAGAGCGTTGTACCGTAGAAATAGTAAAAATGGTCTCATCACGGGTTATCAGTCTTATCCTACTTTCCCCCAAATTCAGCAATTTGTTATCTAGTGTCAACGCCAATAAAGAAATGTAAAATGACCGTCCAGTAGCGTTGTACAAAAGGGTACAACTCATCATAGTCCGCACATTCGACATTACTAGTTTGGGTAGCGACATTGCAACTTTCTTCGACAAAATTTTTCTTTTCTTCGAAATGTGGAAAAAAACAGAACTCACAGATTTTATGGGAGTATTTCGTTAACGATTGTAAATCCATACCGGGACAAAATGTTGACCCAATAAAAAAACTGATTTTTTTCCCCATCTGTGTGTGTGTAGAAGTATAGTTATAAGATTAGCACTAATCTTTCATAGGTTATCCAAGAAATGGTCGTAGTTGGATTCCATGAGGGATCATCATTTATATGTATGTTGATGCACATCGGTGATCTTTGGACATTTGAGCGGCATGATCAACGAGTTCTCATATGCGATAAGGATGTGTGAAAATAAATATAATATATCTAATAGTGAACTTTCATAGGTAATTCTGATTAAGATTCTACTAACCGGCAAAAATTGTTTACCTTATATATAAGTTTCACCAATTGAAAACTTGAAATTTTAACAAAAACGATTTATTAATTACAGTATATATAATATTCGAATAAATTTTTGTTCATTTCTTCGTGTCTTCGTTTTTTGATGAATTAATCAAAATTAAAAATCTTGCATCGTGTGGTGGTTGTGCGATCGCATTTGAGCAACCTTCCAGTCAGACAACCGGTACTGTGAAAGATTTGATACTTCGTTTTGGTCATGGTATTCACATATTTGAGCATTTCTCTCTTGTTTTGGATTTTAATTCAAATAAATCCCTTGCTTGAAAATATCCACTAAAGCAATTGGAACCAAGCAAACAAATACCAAACTGCAAAGTCGTGTACACCCAACTGAAATTCTGAAGTATTTATATTGTCAGGCTCGACAAAGCTGAACAAACTTGCTTCAGTTACAGCTGTCTCCTAAATAAATTACTAAGTAAACAATGAATATCTATTAACGACATTATAGAACGACGGATGTTTGATCCTTACCAATAAATTAGATATATAGCAAACACGTGGATATATGAGGAGTAAAAAAAACATATCGTTTACTTTCGGCCGTCTTAGGGCTACCGATGCCAAAATTTCCTTCCAATTTTTCAAGAAGGTCACTTGACTGCAGAATATGACCCTTGTGTCATTAACATTAAACGTGTATTTACATTCATTATTTCAGTTGATACGATGATATCTTAGTTTTAACGACAAGGTAACAAAGACTGCCTGTTCTAGAACGGAAATATTACCCGCTTTTTATTCGTTTTACGATAGCCAATATTGATACTACAATCCGATCAAGAGAAAGTAATAAAGGTCGTGCAGTTCACTAGGAGAATGATAATTTTATATGATTTTTACTGTCAAGGTTCTAATAAATTCACAGCACAGTATTTTTATTTTTTCATTTCACAGATGATATCCTTTATCCCTGTGAAAGTGTCCAGTAATCAAATGAGAATAACATCCGTAACATTTCGTGCGAGATGAAGATTTCTGAAAATCATATTGCCAATATACTTCTTTTATTTATTATTTCAGTGCTAATATTTTTTTTGGCTCATTGAGGGAGTGATTTCATGGTTAATGTCGTTTGATTATTATGCATTGAGCGACCAATTGCGACTGACTTCATTTTGAAGATGATATCCTTTATCCGAATGAAAGTGTCGATTAATCGAGTGAAAATAATATCCGTAACTTTCAGTGCGAGATAAAAAAAAGTTCAAAAATCATATTGCCAACATATTTCTTTTTTTAATATTTCCACTGTTTATATTTTCTTGTTAGATTATTAAAGGGGTGATTTTATGATCAATGTAGACGTAGAGTGATTATAATTCAATGATCGACCAGGTGCGACTGCGTGAATAGCTAGGTCAAAATATCTTTTAGAAGTTGGAACTTGATTTAGACTGAATATTATAGTACTGGTATTCGAGTTACTAGAACGTTTTAGGGGCTAGTTGTGTGTCAGACTGTGCATGTAGATATGTCAGCGGAATCATGTTTGCAATATCAAACCAATAATTGTGTTTAAAATGAAGTTTGCACGCGGGGCTAGGTGTTGAGTTTAACATGTACACATGAACTTTTGGTTTATATTATAATTCTAATGCATGGTTCTAGAAATATGCTTGAATAGAGTTTCATATGTTAGCAGAGTCATATTTTTAATTTTTCCAACTTAACTCTGCTGAAAATCTTTTGCGTGCTACTTTATCTGTCGTTCGAAAAATATAGTATATATTTGCCTGCCTTCGCTTGTTGGGTGGGAGTGTTCAAAGTCTTATTGTTAACGTGATAAATGTTTTACATGTATTCGGTTGTTTATACAAAATGTGTTCATGGAGCAAATATTTTCATTTACTCTCGTTTTGATGTATACATAAGGTAATAACGCATAGAGTGAAATGAATTATTGCACAGTAATATGTACTGTAGCATTGGTGGCAGTTGTACAAGGTCAAATGAACCCTAGTGAGAGTTATACGCATTCTGCAACTTTGAGATCTGGAAACATTTTATTATGCTGGAAATTTGATGACACCTATATTACGTTTGAAGTACGTATATGTAAATGGAGAAAATAGAGCAATTCACAAATATATGTACAAAAAGGTTCAATGAATAGACGGCAGCATAAGCGCCTTTGACCGAAATTTGTCTACTTCACAGTAGCAATTCTAGTAAAATTGTTTTGAAATAGTCTCGATTAACTAGAAGCGATAACTCCATTCATAGCCAGTTTGACAGTTGTTTATTTTTTCACATACCGAAAATAAGAAAGCATACAAACAGTCAGGTAAAATAAAAATAATTGGACCTCCTTAAGTATGCGCACCAAGATAGGCGCACAACCTGAACTGAGGCAACCTGAGGTTGTGTACCTTGTTAGGGTTCAGGATGTGCGACATCTTGGTGAGCATACTTCAGAAGTACCAAATAATGTATTTCAGCGTGAAGGACCACTCGTGGTTATCGAGCAGCGTCACCTATGAGAGAATCTAACATAAAATCATACAAATATAAAAATGGAAGCCGAACAATATTTACTAACAGTAATCAGCTATTTAGGTACGTTTAAGCGACCTGTTTCGTTCGTCGTAGCAATTCACATTAGCTGAGTACTGACTGATACGATGGATGGAAGCGTTTTAAAAACAGTAACAATAGTTCTTATATGATCAACTGTTGTTGTGTCAGATTATACAATCTGAGTATTCTTAGCCCATTGAATTCCTTACAACCTATACTCTCTCAGGTTATTGGAAAAACAACGGGTTGGCTTGGAATAGGGTTTTCACCAAACGGAGCCATGACATCCTCCGACATTTTCGTGGGATGGGTGAAAAATGGAATCCCTACAGTAACGGTAAGAAATACATGAATAATTTTATGTCTACAATTAATAATGAGTATGATGCAAATGGAAATGTTGTATGTTGCAATTCAGTAAATATCTACATAGTTTTATGAAATACTCACATGTTCACATTGTGCTACTTTCATAGCATGTCAGTAATAAACAAAGGTTTGATATCAGATGAATTTTAAATGTTTACCGACATGCACCAGTCCTTGTTAAAAGTAACATTGTTTGCTTTGTAACAGACCATATTTTATCCATTTTAGTTGAACCAGACCTGCTCTTATATGATGTTTGCTTGTCTTGTTTTGCCTGTTATCAGAATTTGTAAAGTAGATATATTTAGTTCTATTGCCCATGGTATTATAGTGCCAACATAAATGAAATTTGACCTGATTATATCTTTCAAGATTTTTCCTTTCCTTTTATTAAGTTTATCGAAGTTTTGTATCATTTTTGAAACCCCTACTTTGCAGGATAGACACGGAGCTTCATCAAACACTTACCCACCTCTTGATCCTGAACAAAATATCGAAGTACTCGGAGGTTTCGAATCAAATGGATGGACAATGTTTAAATTTTCACGCCAGATCGCTGCTTGCGAGAGCGGTTACGATAGAGAAATTAAGGTAAAAATGTTAATTTATATTGTTTCATTATTTGTATTACATGTTCTGTAATTATATTGGTTTCATTTGTCAATGCAGACGGATACTGAAAGATTTATTTGGGCGTTTGGAGACTCTGATCCAACCGGTGATGATCTCGCTGGAAGTGATTATCACGGAACAAATAGAGGTTTTGAAAATACATTCATACTCGTTTACAACAATCTTACTCACGTTAAAATTTTCTTAACCTTCACTTGAAGCGAGAATAAGTCACACTTGCTGTTCATCGAGATTCTGAGTTCGTCAAGTTGGAAACTCTCTGTCGTAAACCTATATATTCTAGTGGTTGGTTTTCAACCTTTTTTTAGCGGTTCAGAACCTCGATTAAACATTCCAGAGGATCGAAGGATCTATGTGAAAAAGTTTGATTGTTTTTTATTGTTTTAAATAAATAAATTATATATAATTATATATATATATATATATATGCAAGTCTGATTTGGCACGCGAGCCCATTTATTCGGCACGCGAGCGAGGCCTCGGAAACGATATCATTCTATTACAGACAAAAAGTTGCAAGACTGAATTATTTGATGAAGCAAGGTGTTCGTTTATTCAATATCGTTTGTTAACTATCCGTTATTTATTTAATCGTTTTGTCCTTCCATGACATATGGCTACAATAGAATATATTATGACGTAAAAACTGAGTGTGCTCTCGTCGAGAAGTGCGCAGCATCCATTTGGCTATATTCTTACGTAATATAGTTTGTCCGTACCAGCCTTCTTATTCGTCTTTTCTTGATTTATGAGATTGTGCATCATGTTGGTTAGAAATACTTGCTAACTTACTGTTATAAAATGATTTCGAAAGAAATACAAGCGATTAGGGAAAGGAATACAAGTGCAGAAAACTAACTATTGCGTGAGGATGCAATTCCCAAAAATTTTTTGCAACGGCATTACGCTCCATGTTTTCATATACATGTGCTTGTGAATCTCTGTTCTCAGTTATGTAATTTATTAGGTCTTGTAACATGAGTAGTCGAAAGATGAAACCAGTGGTTCGCGTATTTCTTTGAAAGATACAAAATATAAACCCAATGTGAAATCTCTATCAGCGGTTATGCAGCATCAGAAGTCTCACTGATAGAAAATAAAATGAAAGTTATCAAATCTATTTATCAGACTCATATTTACCTGAATAGTGAACCTGTCTGTACAGGTTTAAAAAGTTTATTAGTGTGTATTTTTGTATTGAAAGTAGCAAAGCATTGTTTTTAATTTTGATCGGCACGCGGAAGAATTTTGTCGTTAAATTTAGTCGATTTTGGCACGCGAGCCGAAAAAGGTTGCCCACTCCTGCCCTATAGGGTGCCACAAAACTCTGGATGAAAACTATTAGCCTAGTGTCATATTTTTAATTTATTTTGATACTTCCATTATTATAAACCAAACTATCTTTTAATAGTTTCATGCGACTCATGTTCGTACAATTCAACAATCTATTCTGAAAATTACTATTGTCTTTTTTCAGGTGTACAGAGCATGTTTTTTCTGCAGTCTTCCGGCACTATAACTGAACTTCCAATTGGACCAGAGTACAAAACGTTTGATGTACTAGCAACAGAATTTCCTATTCCAACAGAAGATACATACTACAATTGCAAACTGTATAAGCTTCCCGATTTTGATGGGAAACAACATATTGTTAAGGCAATGCGTTTTTATATAATTTGAATCAGATGTTTACATTGTTATACATGATTAAAATGCCTAATAAAAACCACTACATTAATAACTTCATGTAACATATGGCCCAGTGCGAGTTACAGTTAATGCACATTCGTTGGAACAACAATATTTTTCAATCATAATATCAATTGTACTTGTTTATGCATTATAACTAATAATGGTTTGAATGAATGTTCTAGTGGGAACCAATTATTCAAACTGGAAATGAACTTTTTGTACATCACATGGTTATGTATGGATGTGGTGACATTCTAGAGGTAAGATTTATGAAAATTTATTATACTAATATAACTTATTTTCTATTTAAATCCCGTGGTAAACTATTTAAAATATATTTGCATAATGTATTCACAGCACTGAAGCTGGGATAGAAAAATTATTTTTGGGATAAAATATAGTCGGCTAATGAATGCCAGTGATTACCAAAACAATACACGAGGATAAGAATATAAGTTACATTACCAAGTAATGGTAAATTTCATATGAATGAAATTCACGGACTCATTTGGTCAAAGAATAAAATGACAGTATAATCTGACCAATTAAAATAAAAATGAAATGTTTTAAACCTATTCATGTGCTCCAATTTATACGTAGAATGAAGAAGAACTGGAACAAAACGCACGTTGCTACACATCGAACATGGCTTACTTCGACAGTTGCTCGACTATCATTCTTGAATGGGCAATTGGGGCATCGGTAACGTGAATGTATACATATGAAGAATACTAAATTAATACGTCATACCTCAGTAAATGCATAACCAAACAGCTCGTTTGGCAAATTGGACCAATTTTTCGATTTTTTTTTGGATGGACGGCAGGAATGCATACCGCAGTTTTATGTGAAATTTAATGATAAAATTTTTTTGTTTGTTTGTTAAAAAAGCACTTTTTTTGATAAATCTTAACATGAAAAAACAATCACAATTTTTTTTTATTGCAAATCACACTATGTTACAGGAAATGATATATCCGGAAGAAGCTGGCTTTTCTGTAGGTGGACCCGGGGATCCAGTATACATTCAATTGGAAACACATTACGATAACCCAAATTTGATTTCTGGTAAATACGCTTGACAAAACTATGCAATAGTTGCAGATATTTACTTTTTTGGATACTTTTTAGTTTACGCATTAGCAATAGGCCTGCCTACCTTTCTGAATCCAAATACTGGAAAAATACAACATGCTTCTTCAATCACTTTTTAAATTTACAGCGTATGCTTAACTAAGACGTAAAATACAATCTATTGAACATTGACAGACAAATCGATTTTATTTTGTTTTTAGGAGCACGCGACAGTTCAGGAATTCGATTTACTTACACGCCAACACTAAGGGAAAATGACATTGGCATTATGTTAGTTGGATGTGAAGCCTACGGCCATGAGCTTATAATTCCTCCGGGAGCAGAAAGTTTCACCAGCATAGGACATTGTACTGACGCGTGTTTAGAACAAGTAAGCCATTTCAATAAATCTATATTTGATTTTGCGCCATTAAACTATTTTACCTCTTTATGCTCAGACTATAAGACATCTTCAAGTCGTACCAATAGGTAAGCATTGTGTACTTGTCGTAAAAGTGTTATATGCGATTACAGTAATACAATGAAAGGGGGCCATTAAGCGTTGGCACGCTGTACATAACATATTCAACCTGAAGAATTCCCGTTATTACACATCTTTTCTAAACGTGTTTTAGTAATGTAAAGCTGACATTACCTGTATGATCTGTATATACTGTGACTAATTGTGGTGAGGGTCAAACAGCAATGGCTGACTCTATAATTTGTTTATTACGCGAATTGTTTTTGAGATTATGTACAATAATCAAAAACTCAACCCTGCTGGGCACCAGAAAAGTTTGGCCTGCTGCTGGGTTAAAGTGATATCGGTTGTGCATTTAGTACATGTGATACAAATACAAGTGATACAAATAGTATACACATGGTAAAAGTAGTAAGGTGATACTTTATACCTTTATACTACCTCAAAATCACATCGATTTTAAATATTTTTTGTGAACTGTTGATATTCATTTCGCAGGGATTGACAGCTTCTGATGTCGACAATGTTACGGCTTTTAGCGTTATACTGCATTCCCATCTAGCGGGAAGAAAATTAAGATTAAGACATATCAGGTATTCATTCTTTACCTATAGTACGAACATATCGTGTATTCTTATCGGCCATTTAATCAGCCTAGCCCTAGCTAATCACAATAGACCACAGATCGAACAATTTAGAATCAATTATGTTCGTTGCTAATTCATTTAGGCTACTCTTTTTACTCGTGGTATTTAAACGCAACAATTGGTATATTATCAATTCGTTAAATACAAAATATGATCTAATAATGAGTGTTTCGAAGCGAATAATACACATTTCCCTGCAGAAATGGAGTTGAACTTCCGTATTTAGCCAATGATGAAAATTACGATTTCAATTACCAAGAATCCAGATATCTCAATCCGGGAGTTATCATCAAAAATACAGATTATCTTCAAATGGAATGTGATTATAGCACGAAAGATCGAACAGTGATGACAGAGGTCGGTTAAGTTCTAATAACAATATACTATATATATGCTCCTTCAATAATTGTTACTATATCACGTGTTCTGAATCCTTGGTATTTAATTCCTCAGATAATCTAAGTAAATCAAATCTCATAGATTCAAATACTCACTAAAATGCAACAACCATCAATATTAAATATAAAGTATTTAAAATTTATATTTTGTAGGGGGGACTGGGAACTCTTCAAGAAATGTGCGAATCTTTTGTTTTGTACTATCCTAGAATAAATTTGGTATTCTGCACCTCTACTGTGCCTCAAAATACGTCATGGTCATATTTAGGAATTGATTCAACAATGGTACAAAAGTAAGAATAATTCATAATTTATAGCATATTTTGATAATTACCGTATTCGTGTTAACAAACTATGTTTTAAAGAATTGACAACACTTCGGGATTTCACCTCTCGGATTACAAAATGACTGAACCTGCTGATATAAATGGAAAGACCGTTTTGGAATACATGAGTGAGGTAAAATCAATGCTTGAAATAATACAAACATCGGAGAGTATCTGACTTTCAGACGTTGATTTTGACTGAGACCACTGTATTTTAAATTTCGACTACGATAATATTTGGAAATTGATAGCGATTTCGAAGCTATTCAAGTAGCTTGTCAACATAATAAGCGAATAATTTAATTTGTATTCCGTGATACAGTGGCCACTTCATAAAATTGCAATTGACCTTGTAGATATCATCTTGAATATTTCTGAATTTTATTATAGAAATATTAGTTTTAATTTTGGTTGTAAAATTGTTTTCTCTCTGATAATCATTTGATGTTGCAAGATGATGCAGCCTTACCACTTCAGATAGCAATAATGGACTGTCTAATATACTTACGATTATGATTCTGAATTGCAATTTGATATATGAAGTATATGCAGGGTTGCCATCTACCCAGAGCCAAAAAATAAGCACGGGCGTCAAAATGTGATGTTTCAATGGGGAAGAGATCTCCCTTCTACAGCCGGAACGCCCATATGGGTTTACTTTACTATAGTTTTTAAATTTCGGTACTTATAGGGTCAATATCGCTCTTAGCTGTTTATCGACATAATGCCCTGATATGAGAGAAGCGATAAAACCTTCCAGCTGTGACGCAAAGTGCGAATCGTATAAATAGCCTGGATTTCAAAATCACTGTCAGACATCTGAAAATGAGATTCAGCTCAGACAGGAAATACTCCTTTATAAGAACTTATTATTGTTTTAACATGTATTTTCAGTCATACTAACTATCCCTGACCATCCCTGGCGCTGTGTTGTTTTGATAAATATGATTTCGACTGCTCCATAGTTGGCAGAGGTATGGAGATTTTTTGTATGTAACAAAAACGTAAAATTAATGGTAATGTTAAGGCGTAAATGCGCGTATGGGATTGTTTACGCCGTTCTACGTGCATTTCCGTCGAAAAAATTTAATTTTTTGGCATTGGGGGTGGTCTGTGCAGTAATAATAAGAGCTGTGACGTCATCAATATCGGTAATTTGACCTTGAACTTGACAATACTGTAAATACAATTGTGAATTTCAGAGTAATAACCATTTATGCTATTATAGTCGTTTTGGTATTGTTATGTTAGGAAAAACTTGACGAAAACGTTGAAGAAAAAATAAATTAATTAGGAATTAATTATTAACCCTCTACTGTACACAGAATATCTCAAAGTCCAATTTTTTTTTTAGACATTTTTGAAATTTATTTGCAAAAATTTTTTTCGAGGAGTGTGTTTTAAAGATATATTGCTGAATAGAACCCTAGCAGACGCTTTCAAAAAGCCATGAGTAAAGCTTTAGGGCTTAATGGTTGACATAAAAAAATAAGTTTAAAAATACCCATAAAATGGGCAGGGCTTGGAGCTTGTATTGGGTTCAACGGCAGAAACACAGAATAAAAATGAGAAGAGGATCATACACGAGTCTCCCACTTTTTATCATTAGAAGTCGCTTCGAACACGGTTGTACGTAGATCCGAAATCGCAAAAATCCTATGAAAAGGAGCGGAGTCACTGGCACTCGCAACCTCTAAAGCAACATTTCGTCGCTCGCGGGCCAAAATCGAGTGTTACAAATCTTGGCGGGCCGTACATATTTTTTCAAAAAAGTTAAAAACTGAACGGGTGGCTGCTGAACCATATTATTTATAAAGATTAGAAATTCAAATTTCAGACTTTAAATCGCGGGCGAACACTGCGACAACTTGTAGACTCAAGTCGTCTTACTATGCAAAATATTTACAAATAACATTTAATGCGACACTATTTGTTGCATCACGCTTGATACCTTTTCGAAATCAGGCGACACACTGGATAAAACCAAAATTAGAACATTTTCTAAATAGCTATCACTAATCTTAGTTCTCCGCAAGAAAAATTTCGTTTTGCTTCAGTAATTGAAAACAAAAGCGATTTTTTCATACCGATGGGAAAACCAATTATTAATAGTGAAGAACAAGAACAACATATTAACGATCCGTATGTTTCAGTGAAGAACTGTGGGCCGGATTATTTTACTCCGTGTGTCGGATATGGCCCGCAGGTGACCGAACCCTGATCCTAAAGTATTCATACTTTGGTTTCCCGCAATGCTTCTTGTGTTTTGTGGTAGTATTGTGGGCAATGATTACTGTTTTTCATCTTTCTCGATGTCGCAATAACAGTAGTTAATAGAAAATTTCTTTTCATATTCGAAACAGAACTCATGGTTACGCTCACTCTAAATTGCAGTTTGTCCCTAAAACAGTATTCCTAAAAACTAGCAGCAACTATTGTGTGAGTCACAGTTTGCCTGGAAATACCGCAAAGCCCACCGTTAAAAGCAAAATTTAGTCCCTCGTTTCCACGGAAGCTTTGTAAGCAAAACAAGAACGAGTCATCTACGTTTCTAAGACAAAATAAGCACGCGACTGAAAAAAAGCACAAATCTTAGAAATAAGCACGATATGGCAACCCTGAGTATAGGCTTAAAATGTCGTAGGTACAGGGAAGGTACCTTTACATTCTGAAATACAACACGTTTTGAGCGACTCTGGAGAGAGACCTCGCTCTCCCGCCTTCCATCCAGTTCTAATGTATAGCGATTCTACTGAGAAAAATTGTAACCTAATCTTTGTCTATCGATACAGATAACGTTCTATCTAGGAAACTATAGACTTCGTGATCTTCTATAACAAGCGATAGTAAACAAATTTTATAAATTATAATCTTACACCAACTCCTCATAATTGTGTTAATGAAGCTCAACTGGACACAGCAACGCATTGAAGAATTTGAAGATTTTTACAATTATGCAGAACATCAACTATGGTGCCAAACAGGAAACGCCAGTCAAACAGTAAGTTTTTTATACTTGCTGTTTGATCTTAAAACTCAGATGAAGTAGAAATTAAATATTGGTATATTAACAATAGCCACTGATATGATTTTTGGCATCTGCATTTCAGACGATATCAACATACCTTTCAGTTAATATAACAACTCAGTACACACCTCCAGTGAAAGAATGTCAGGTTACAAGCACAACAATTGGACCAGTAATTACGACCAGCCATGGTTATGCCATAAAATCGCCTCAGCTTTTTCATATACTTGTATTATTTTTCTGTTTATTCTACTATTATTAGCGTTTGATCGTTGACGGTGTTCATCACATGCATAATTTATTTTAAAATATAATTATAATTTTAAAAACTTTTCGTAACACCTCTAATATATCAACAATCAGTTGAACAAATGACTTCAAAAGCCATTTTCGTTTCGATATATGTGAACAACTAGGTTTTGACACTATAAGCTATACGACCCACATATATAACTAGGATCTTTCTTGCTTTGTTCTATTTTGCTTGAACATTGATCCAGATTGAAATTGCACATATTTAATTTCTATGCTGAGAATAAATTGGAAAATATTTTTTTTTATACATTTTTGAATGACATCAGTCATTCCAATTGAATTTTTAACAATTGTTTAGCATCGTAAAGTTTCTGATGCTCATTGGACATGAGACATGCCTAATGCCCGTATACTTCTTTTAAAATTTTGATTTTCATCATTTTGCACTTAAGCACTTTATGCAATCGTCTTTTCACAATGATTTAAAATATATATGGCACAAATCTTTTCATTGTTTTCCAATTGTTGCGAAGTTCTGTTATCATCGAAAATATACGTGTTAAATACTATCGCGCAATTAACCCAACTCTAGAATAATTGAAAATTAATTATAAAAAAAGGGAAATATAATAATGTAAAATTGCGTTTTGTGTAATCGACCTAAAAACTGCAAAAAAGAGAGTAGTAAGACAACTTGACTGTGCCTTAAACTCAGAATATGAGATTGGTTGAATTTTACCCCCAATATGATAGAAGCGTATAAGCAAAATAAAAATGGTCCCATTTTTTGTAACAAATTAGTTTCTAGCTATACGAAATCAGAGTGCTCGCATATTCAAGCGATGTAACATAGATGTGGAAAAGTGAACACATCAGAACATCGTTTGGACCAATACCATAGGATTGAATTGATAATATTTGAATATAAATGTTAGATAATCGAACTAGTGCCGAATACCTAACTACTTGCTTCAGCAAAAATATAAAAAAATACAATATTTCGGCGGTCTAGAAAAATTGTACGCACTATTTTTTTAAAATTTTATTATTAGGTATTGACAATGGCAACAACCATTTACAAGTTCTGCCACGCAACGATTCACGAAACACCTTTAACTAATGATAAAGAGAAATGAGGTTTTTGAATGTTTCCATTTTACCAATATATCTTTGATTTGAAATATGTAAAGTACCTTATCAACTTGGGAATGTATTTATTACCGTCCGCTAGCCCAAGAAACATTACCCATAGCAATCACAAAATAAATCACTATTCAGATATTTAAAAAGTTAATGCTGAAACATTATTATGTAAAGGGGAAGAATATTTGAAACGGAATTTACGTTTATTGTTTGAAACAATGTGATTAGTAAGCTATGGCCCTACTAGTAGAATTATTACAGTACATGCAGATTTAAATAGGTTAAATCGATGTCAATTACAAATTTCATTGTGTAAACAACTGCGGATACGATTGCATGGGCATAAATACATATTCAATTACAGTGGCGTAGAGCAGTGTGCAACCTTTAAGACGCATAAATTACTGAAGAAAACTGCTATTCAATTTATTGTCAAGACAACCTTAAATGAATTCAGGGAGAAATTTGCAGCCGGCTTCTTTTTCGGACTACTTTTTTCAAATTTACTTTAATGAAGGTACTATGAATTCAAAGTTCATTTTCCAAGGGTTTATCTGTCAGAACCGATCATTGTTCGCACAAATATGTTTAGCCAAAAAGTGCCATTTTTAAAATTTGTTCAAATATGGAAAGTTATTTTGGATGAGAAGTTTTAAGTAAAAATTACCATCATTCATCTATAAATACTTTGTGCTGTCAAATCTCACATATTCTGGACTGGTTTTGACAAAATAGAGTTGATATGCTGAAACCAAAACTCATTTAGATTTTGTATATCTCAATGATAGAATTCCCAAAACTGCTTTCTAATTGCTTTCTTTCAAAAACCCGTTCTAACTAATTTATCATCATCTGTTCTGCACTTTCCCCAAATTTCTCGATGCTCAACATGTGACAGCGTTGTAAATAGCGATGTTTTTTCGCAGAAGTTATTTGGTAGGCCATTGTGACGTCATAGGTATAGATCAGGGTGGTCCAAGGATGTCGGCTTCGCCGGCCACAAAATTATTTTTGCATTGTTCGCGGGTCACAATAGTGCCAAGAATAGGTGAACAGTGCAATACAAAACAAACACTTTTATTGTGCAAACACATAGTTATCAGACATAGCCATCCCAGGCTAATAGAATCAGCATTCGATTTTTAGTTTTCTATGATGCTTATATTGTTAGCATAATTTCCCGATCAAAAAGAAAGAAAGCCAGATAATAATTTCGAGTGCCAAGCACCTCATTCAACTTCGCTAGTTTCCTCAGCTAGCCATAACAATAGTCAATTCAGCGACATTATTGATGTAACAATATGTCAAAAGATTTTTCCGATTAATATTATTAGGAAACAACACGAAATGCGATTACTCTCCGAATGTGACGCGGGTCACAGAAAATAAAGCGGCGGGCCACATGTGGCCCGCGGGCCTGGGTTTGGACCATCCTGGTATAGCTATTGAATCGGACTCAGGTGCAGGGTTGCCAACTGTTTAGTGATAAAATAATCTAGAATTTTAACAAATAATATCTAAAATAATCCAAATTCAAAAAACAATAATCCGAATAATAAAATTTTATAAGAATAAGTGATGGAATCTCGGCCCTCAGTTGTGCATGAACACCCTTATTTATGCCAATCATCACACTTGCATTATTTGTTACGATTGCTACAAGATTCTTCAAACTCAATTTATGCGAACCGAGTACATTCTTACTATAACAATGTGTTGAGCATCACAAGCTGTAAGTTCTAGATAGGTTGACACAATCTTTTTTTTTTACATGCTGTAATAAACTATAGATATACCTAGTACAGTATTGATATATGCACAGTTATATCTGTGGACGCAACTATGCTATGCTAAATGCTAAATTTGCCATCACCAATATCTGGTCTTAGGTCTGTTTTAAAATGCTCACATAGAGTATTTATTATGATAAGGGTACATTTAGTTCGGTGCACTTTCATTTCGGACACTGTTTTGTTTTTAGAGATATTTGGTCACAATTAGAAATAGCTAAGTGGCAACATAAAAATGTGGAAATAGACGCTTCCAGTTCCGCTATTTCGGAGATTTTAAGAGTCATAAATGAATCAAGAGTCCCGGTAATGATTGGAAAAGCTTTCAAATGTTTCTGGCTCTTAGTATGCTGCTTCAAATCTTGATATTTAGCTTCTACAGAACTCCACATCTACAGAACTTGCAGAATGCCTTAGATTCCTCAGCAGTCTTTCTGATCATATCGTCTGCCATTTGTTTCTTTAGACCAGGGGTACACAACTCAAATGTGGACTCGTGCCAAATTTTTCTAAATAATCTTGTCCCGTTCCACACAAATAGTTGGTATTGTAAATTAACTCCCGTAAAACACACATCAAACAAATTTTAATAATATCTATTTATTGGAACAATTGAATGTCCTGGAGTCTGACCTTAAATTGAGAATGGCAATTTCTTCACACGCTCTGAAAATTAATCCAGTTTATCACTTCCAACGTTTCTGAACTCTTGCAAGACTCTACAGAATATTCTCGTAACAAGTGAGCTAAAACTACCTTTTCTTCGATCATTGCAAACTTTTGTCCAATGCAGTTTCTAGTCCCAGCCGCGAACGGAAGATATGCGCACCAATGTCTGGCATTGTCCGTGCACTGTTTTCCGCATTAAATCTTTCCGAATCAAAACTATAAACAATTATACTGAGCCGAAACAAGGATCTTCCAACTAGTTACGAAATTAAAAAGAACCATGCAGCTATAGAAATAACAATATTCTGGAAATCCCATTTCAAGTACAGTTAGTTCAGCTATACCACGACATAAATAAATAAAATTTACAATATCTTTTTCATTTATAAAGTTAGTATATTAGAAATAAATTATTTTGAATTGTACTCGTGTACCTCACTTGTATTTACTAGATTCCAGCTGCGTCTTCAAAATTATCAACCGAGTGTTGGGGAGGCACAAGTCAGAGAATTTATTTATTCTGTTGTTTATGAAATCTACTGAGATTCGGGAAGCGAATACTCGACTTGGGACCCAGGAGTGCAATAAATCGACTTGCTTTGAGACTCGATTTTTCATAACTGCTCTTTCAAGTTTTTTTTGTTTAGAGTACACGTTGGAGGAATTTGAGAATAATGAAAACCAAATGAAATACAAATCAACTCAACAATGAACGACGGAGAAGTTATACTAATGTGGGGACATTTATATGTTCTGTTAAAATCTGTAAATGCTATTCAATAAGTGCAATTTTACGAAATCCTGGCCAGGTTTCAAATTTCTTTTTATATGTACCCGTATGAAATACCTATTCTATACATATAACTGCTCTTTAAACTGATAAGCACAAAAGATTGTGAGAGTTAAAAAAGTTTGTACACTTTATCAAACAGTGCTTGTTTACTGGGATGTTAGGTTTGTTTTTCAGATTTGATCAAACTTTCCGATTGTATTCTGCTGTTTCGAGATGAAATTTTTTAAACCATGATGAAGTATATTAGGAGAAATATCGAGTGGAACTTATGGAACTCGTCCGATTGCAATAAAATTAGTTTAATACAACAAACAAAGTGTGGAAGCGGCAAAAAATATTTCCCTACTGATCTCTCACACTCATGTAGTCTCTGTGATTCATTCAGACGAATATAAATATATGCATATTGCAATGAACAAATGTAACCAAAATGATTTGGTTTTATGGAAAATCGAAAGAAAGCCGAAAACCCATTTAGTCGTGAATTTGCGCAACAGTTATTTTCTGCAATTTTATACATTCATGATATAAACTTGTGGTACAAAAAGATCTTAAGCCAGATAATGTTTTTTCCTTGATCAAAAAGTTGTAAAAATTGTTGTGTTTGGCATAAGTGCAGTCATTGAGTCAATGACACAAACAGTTTATACCAGAAAAGGTCTCGGTACTGGCGGTTACAGACCCCTGAATCATTTGTCGTTGGATATTCAACCTTTTGAAAAAATGACAAATATTCAATGGCTGTCATTATTTACTATGTATGGAGTAACTGTAATTATCCTTTTTGGAGGTGAAAAGGATCTATGTTATCATTTCATGAAGAACCATGAAAACCTGAACTTAGATGAACTTTTAGTTTCAGATAAAGAAGTTGCAAAAGATTTACTGGAATGAATGCTGCAGTTTGTTTCTCGTAAACGTTCAATGATGAACGAGATTCTCTGTCATAAATATATGGCTCCATCAAATGTAAAAGATAGTAATAATTTTTATTGAAATCTAAATACATTGGCATTTTGATAATTGGTCAACTGGGGATAAAACCATTGACATTGACCTATAGATTGTATTTATGCCGCTATTTTCTAATCTGGGCGTCGCTATGTTTGCTTTGTTTTTCTTCATTAGATTTTTCCTTCAATATCTTGTAGCTTTCTTGTTAAATTACTCCCTTTTCTTATGTTGGAACTCTTTATACTTCCTCCAAATACCCAAAAACTACTTTATTTGTTTGATATTCAGTGGATCCTTAGTTAGTGCTATGTGTAAGTCACACACTCACTTTAAGTAATTTATTATTGATAAAAAAAAATATTAGTAATCTTACATCGAATACAAAACTTCCACTCTAAAAACGGTTCTACTACGAAGACGGCTAGGCAAGAATTATTTTGTTAGGAAACGTTAGGATATTGCAATTGTTAACTGGATGAAAAAACCTATGGAAGAAAACCCCATATTAAGGTTTACTATTCCGAGACCTACAGGGAGAATCGTCGCCAAGCAGCCATGATGATGCATGATGCTTGCATTTTTACCAAAAGATTGAAACGCAATACCATTTATTTTCTGGTTATTTGTGTCTGATTCACCACAAGAAACCATCTGAAATAAGAAATGACTTGTGTTTGATCAATAAATCTATGAATTAATAATTTTGCCATCATGTACCATCGATACCAACTCTGTTCGAAAATAATAACGATAGTTAACTGCGAATTGGCACTTGACAAATTTTTTCGCGACTCGCAAGAACTAAAAAAAAGTAAAATTAAATAATACAGAAATATTTTATAAAATACTAAAATTAACAATACCTTTTAATGTCACCGATTCTCGCACAAAAGATCGAATCTTGGCTTTATTTTGGTAATGATGGGTGTCAGTACTGGTTTCAAATTTGTTCAATATTTTGTTTTAACATGAGTTAGTGTCGAAAAAGTTTTACCAGACCCATTATGCACTAGGGAGTTGTGACCCCCCAGTTGAAAATGTCCTGATTCAACCCACAGTAATATTATTTATTTTGTAAATCACTCAAATATTTCAGCAGAACAAATTTCTGTTTGAAATGTGACATTTTCAAATTGCATACAACTCACTGATGACATCTTGTGGTATAAAGACAATGTGGTTCGTAAACAACTGGGTGTAACAGTTTACGAAAGTCAACTGAAACTGAAAGATGCCAGCTTTTAACTTATGATGAATATTATGAGGAGAGAAAGAAAATTGAAATTCCTTTTAACCTAGACTTGCTCTTGTACATGCAATAGAGGTGGTGAATGGTATACAACATTTGCATAAACATAATATTTTTAATGGGCCATTGGAATCGAGTATTGTGTTTTCACTTGACATGCAAAATGTGAAAATTTGTTTTCAGAAATCTTTTGTAAAATTTGACTTCCAATTAATCGCTTTTAAAAGGATATTTTTTCTTTGAGGTACACCTTGTATAAATTATGTTGGGTTGGACTGATTGAGTACCGGTAATGGACAACAATTAATTCTACAGTAGGGATTGGTCCCTAACCCTATCACAAGAATGACACACGATGATGAAGATCTACGGCTAACAATTAAGCGGGTTGTTGATCATGAATTCTGGAAAAGTATCAACATTTAGGTTTTTTCATTTGTTTGGTGTGTGTCTGTAATTTCTACTAACTAGTACTTAACATACACTCATTGAGCTTCAAAATGACAGTATAATCTTCTTAATGCAATGGACAGTGGTAACTACCGTATGTTAGATCTGTGGGCATGAGATATTGGATTCAAAGCGTTCACCATTTCATCCAGAAAAGGGAGTTTTCCTCTCAAAGATAGTCACTTCTTATGTTTAGAACGAAGATATAAAAAATGTCATGAAAATCATAATTATGCTTCTTATATGTGCCTGGTATCAGAAACCTTGTGACATTTTATTTTTTCAATTTTGTAGCGTTTCTCAAATTTGGCCAACTGCCTCTTGAATTATTTATTGCACCCTGCACAAGAAGTGTGCTTCCATGATTTATTTTTAGGATAAAGATTTACATAATAATCCTGGGGAAGAAGAAAGCCGATAAGACAACTTAACCATGTGGCGAACCACGGCTCCCGTCCGCTTATCATTCCATGTCGGGTATGGGATTAGTTAGGTATTTGATTTCGGAAGCATGGACTTGATGGTGGAAGAAGCCGTAACCGACCAGCGGTTACGTGATCCACTCTACGGCGGCGAAGAGTCCAGCAATGCTCTCGCACATAACTATCCCCGCATGGAATTCGAACCTGCGAACCCACGCAGAGAAATCAGAGGTGCGGTGGCGAGCGTATTCCTAACGCTTAGCACGATGAACCACACCGCCGCGCCATGACTGGGACATACCAGGACGCAACCGGAACCGCCGTGACGTCACATCGTTGACCATATAAGAAAGGCAAGTCCCAGTCTGCCCTAATAATATTGCCCATAAAAACACATTTAATGCGCTCCTATATCGTATCACACCATAATAAATTAAAACAGTTTATTCGTAAAACATGATTGCCACAAAACTTTTCTCTCAACAAAACTTTTCCCTTATATATCTTTCAATATCAATGTTTATTTGCGGTAATTTGTAGCCATTGATGCATTAGAAGCTCTTTAGCACAAGGGCGAAATGTGGGTTCATATTTGAGCGCCAATTTTATCAAATCTCTTGCTTTTCGTGCAATTTTCCTTGATTTACTTGCCGGTATTTCTTCTCTGCGTTGAATTTCGACCATAGCACTGTAAAAGTAAGCGTTGTAGTTTGAACCCCGGTCTCTTATCTGCATTGACTTTAAAAATTCAAGAAATTTTTGACAAGTGCAGTTCTTATCAATTTGTGGCTTTTGAAGCTGCCACCAAACCATGGCGGGATTTCCAAACCACGGCCGCTGTGGTCAAACCATGGCGGCTGACTTTTCAGCTGCTACAAATAATGGCGTGAGGTGGGGTACTGCGGCAGCAAATTAGAAACCATGACTGGTAAAATTGTCTGCCACAAACCAAGGCATGCAATGATGAGGTCGCTTTGTCACTGCCCTGTTATCTGATTTTCCGTTAGGGTGCTTTAATTTGAGCAAATTTACATTTAAATATGTATTTAATATGAAGCTCAGAATTTGAACATTTTTGAAAATCAAACCGAGTATTGCCGCCAAGAGGGCCGCATTATCATTTTCCAAACGATATTGGCCAATTATCGAGTTAAAACTGGTTTATTAGTCATCCTAACTTGCTATATTCTCCGAACAAAGCCTGTAAGCCTGCATTGTTTATTCAAAATAAAGTTAAACGATACTTCAAGCCAGTGGCCTAAAACAGGCGACCCGAGGGTCACAATCCGGCATTCCAAGCCATTCAGTATGGCTCTTGTCCCATCAAGCGTAAAGTCCTAATCTGACAGTTTCTGTTTGAAAAGCACACATAAATAAAAACACATAATGGTTTTTGGCTTTTATTGCTACGTTAAATTTCCAGCTGTTTTACCCGGTGCCTTCAATACGTATGGCTAAGCGATAGTCGCATTCTCTTCTCTTGCCTTTCTCTCAATTTTTTTTTTGTGCGGCCCGGCCAGATGAAGTTAGTTATATGCCTATGGCCCACCAATAAAAATTGTTGCACACCCCTGATTTGAGGTATTATCGTTATAGAATGGATTGGGAACCTTTATTCTGTTTCTCTACATCTACAGTCTACAACACACTTACTCATTCACTACCTACTTTATATCAGTATCATCGTAGGGCATTGCCCCGTATAACGTGATGAACGCTACTACTCCCATTGCCCAAATGTCGGCTGCTCTAGGATCGTGGGCTCGCCTTTCTAAAACTTCAGGGGCTGCATAAGCTGCTGAACCACAAAACGTCTTCGTGAGCTGCGTCTAAAAGGAAAATGTACTGGTATTTGTATATATTCTGATTTTGAGAAAATTCGCTGCCATCAATCTTAATATATATATATTGTGGCATCTTACCTCACCATTTAGGGTTTTGTTTTTTATCAATTCTTAAAAAAAACATCGTGTTTTAAAACAAGGGCTTGTTTTAAATTAATTTTTTCCTGTATTTTTTGTATTTTTTATTGAAAAACCTCTTGCATCGCCGCGAAACTACGCCAAAACGTTGCATTCTGGCAGCTGCACACGCCGCCGGAATTATAATTTCAAAAATGTAAGTAAAAAAAAATATTTTGACTTTCACTTCTATTGCGTACATTTATCGCCACCTTTGTATCTCGACCAAAGTCATAAGATTTTACCCGGAATGTTTAGTCGAGATATCAGAGAGGCGTTTTGAGTAAAAAAAATCACGAAAATTAGCTCACGAGCCTACTACAAAAGCAATTAGTTTGAGTGCAGCCCTTCGGAAAAACAAGTGGGTTGCGATAATGAAGAATATGCTTATATCGGCGGTAATCTATTGATATAAACGATGAGACACCCTAGCCTAGCCTATGTTAATTGTAAGAGTCCTCTGATGCAAAGACGCCACAACTAATCTGTTATGACGCCATAATATAGATTTCGAGTTCATGTATTGACATTTTTCTCATAAAATGAAGTCATTATTACGGTTAATAATGTTCGGTTAATTTATGCTTGGCATACTTTGTTTTTAAGGTTAAAGTGATAAAGTTTTTCAAGGTTATATAAACTCATTTATTCGATCGCAATTCAATTTTCGCAAGGTAGTTTCATCGCAGCAAGGTCGTTCACGTAATGGCTTATCGGTTGCGTCTTACTGCGCTAACCACTGAACTACAGCTTGAGAAGGTGTACATGAGCCTCTATCGATATTTGTGGCGTTTTAAAGGATTTATTGCAAATAAGAAGCGCTTGGCAAGGTATTACATTCATTTTTTTTTCAACATATTTAATACAAAAAAATCAAATTTTAGGCTACAGCAATTTTGAACAAAACAGGAAAAAAAAACTTGATTTAAAACAATTGTTTCAAAACAATTCTTTTTGAACAAATCCCTATTACCATTTTTTCCGAATACCACCTAAATTATAGGCATTATTCAAACTAAAATATTCCACTCATTTAAAAGTTTGTTTCAATTCGACATCAATCCAAGTCGATTATTCGGAGAGCTACTATTGGATCTTCGCTCTAGGACAGGACCCTTATTCTCAGTCGATCTGTTTGTATGTCTGTTTAGCTGTAGCTTCCAAACTGCTGGGGCGATCTGGTTAAAATTTTTCATGTGGGTTGTGCCGTATTGTATGTTTCACCGAAAGTCCGGATTGATGTTTCGTTGCTATTGCAGCAACCAAAAACGCGCCGATCGTTGAAAAATTTCTATTCTTTTTTCACAATTTGTCGCCATTTCTTGCAAACAACCCCAAAAATTAAAAATTCCAAGATCTCTACCCGTGCGCAGAAGTAAATACTCTTTCGAACAAGCCATTTTCCATCTCGTCAATCCATAAACTGGGGAAGCCTCAGAAATTTTATTGAAAATGTTCAATTTTTAGCCTCAGACTTACGCATTCAAGCATGAATGCCGACGTTGTTCAAAATGAACTTCAAAAAACCGATGTCTTTGTAGATCTGTAATTCTGCATAGATAGTAACGGATTGCGGAAGTAGAATTCGGCAACTTTTAAGAAGTGTGGGCCTCAACTAACATTGGAGATTTACTGCACCTACCGCTTGTAAATATACTGGGTGTCCATAAATTCTCTTAACAATTACAAGTTTGTTATGCAGTCAGTTCTCAATATAAACCAGGTTTGTTGTTTTTTAATCAGTAATTGTTTGAATTGCACCTCATTTAATACATCTGTAAGGGCCAAAACAATATATGGTATCGATAAATTTCATTTGCAATTTTATATATTTTTGAGACCTTATGTACACCATGTATAATTTCGTTATGTTAAATTCCACATTGGCCCAACTGAGGAAGTTCGATTCATACAGGAACATGGCAGCTTAACGTAGGTCGCTGCTGATGACCAATAATGACACCTCGTAACTCCCTTCAACCTGAAGTACCGTTTTACTATTGTTGCATCGTTTATTCATAAAGTGTATTTCATGTATGGTGGAAAAATAAGTACTGATTACGTATTATCGGGTTCCTGCCCAAGCCCTTCTTCAAAGTAACAGTTTGAATTACACAAAAAAGCCACAATTTTCTTTAAACCAAACCAATTTGCACAACATTATCACACCTTTAGTTAAATGTAACAATCTTACTTTACCTAATGCATGTATTATAATAACACAGTACCTGAGCAGGGTAGACTTCTTGCGAAACTCCAGACGAGCATTCCGAAATTCCCGCAGATCGTTTCGGGATCGTTTCGACTTCTTCCGCGCTTGTTCGGACAGTTTCGGAAAGTTTTGGAATCCGTCGCGCAAATCCAAAATCGCACAATTTAGCAGTGAACCCCATTCCAATTCGTCCGGGTAGAATATCCAATAAGATATTTTCGCATTTTATATCTCTGTGTGTGATGTCATTATCATGTAAATACGTCACTGCTTCGATGACGTCACGAAGTACATTACGAGCTTCCTGCTCAGGCATTGCTCCTTTTTCCTGAATTTCACAAAATTTAAATAATCAGTTATCACTATGGCTAACCCCTCCCCTTTAGCAAATAAAATAGTTCCCAAGTCATTTAGGACACATTCTGGAGTCTACTCCAGACAGAAAATAACCTTTGCGCAAAACTTCCTATATTAATGAAACTTTTAGATATAACCATACACAAACAGAAGACTTATTCTCAGCGATGTCAATCAACCTGTAATTTATATGACGTTTTCACACCGAAATCCAATCATGGTTCTAGCCAAAACACTACTAATAAATAACAAATTGCAATTTAAAGAATCATTCTCTCCCTCTCTTCCCTATATCTCCAAATACTCGACAATATAGCGTGTTTCTTTTACCATTTCCGTAACAAGTCCCAACAAAACCACTGGCATGTTTTTAAGTCCTAAAGTTTCAGTTGTAGCAAGGATTTAGTCAAACAGATAATATATATCTTGTGAGAAGCTGCTATTTTGTGAAATGAACCTCAATTTTGAGAATGTAGCCAGCCCAAAATGTTGCAGGGCCAAATTTTTTCGTATATCAAACAAAATACGACGTTTACTTGTGCCTTATGCTCCGAAAAAGACTAGATGAATGCAGCCACTGATATACAACACTCAACACTATCTCAAATAAGTTCTTTCCAGGCCAAACTCGCTGTCAAAGTTTCCTCATGATTATCTACAATGAGCTGGACAAACTAGGGAAGGTCTTAGGCTAAGCCTTGAATTACGTTATTTAACCCTATGTCCTCCAACAATCGAAGCAACTATTGACACCTTCCTTCAAAAAATTTATTCCCCGCCGTTCAAATACGCGAGAGACACCACTTAATTCCGTGACAAATGCTAAAATACGAAGAGCTTCAACTGACCTTGACAAATTCTAGGAGGTCACCGCATTTCACAAATTCCGTTACAATGTAAACTGTGTCGCCAACTGGTCTTCGTCTTGTTTCGAATATTTCATAAACATTGATAATATTAGGGTGTTTGATATATGATAGGATCTAAAAAACAAGAGAGTAAAGTTCAAATATATCAACGCGAGTGTTACCGTGTTTACTTGAAAATAAGACCTAGCCTAAATTTTAAAAATTATTTTAATATAGGCCCTACTCTTAAAATAAGACCTGGTCGATATCGTGGATTTTTTAAAATAAAAAAACGTGACATTTAAAAGTTAATTGGTATCGGCTTTCATATATTGTATATATATATATATATATTTGAAAATCTCGTAATTCTATACTTCGTAATTTTGTTTTTGATAACTGAAAGTAAAATACATCACCCAAAATAAGCACTATAGTGTGGTTTTTCGTAAGAAAATTGAAATATAAGACCTTGTCTTATATTCGGAGAAACACGGTATATATAATTGTTTCCATGAATTAAAGTGGAATAAGAAGATACTGGCTATAATATTGGAGCTGATGGACATCCGATTCAAAACCGAATCTCTAATTTGCGGGGATAACATAGTTAGTCTATTTCTAACGCTCTGAAGACCAAACCAGTCAGACGGCGTTCACGGAAAAATAAGTTTCACCTGAATTTCTCTTGGTAGGAACTTATCTCTGAACACTGGAGGGGCCAGATTTCTGACGATGATTTTTATGGCCACGTCATCTTTAATTTGAGTAGAGTAAGCACGACGAACTTTACTGTATGAGCCCTCCCCTGTTTAAAATGAAAGGGTGACGGATTTTCACACTTTTGCTACAGAAGTCTATGATATATAAAGTGTAACGAGCTAACATAGTTTGGACCGTTCCTTTTTGGTTTGGTATCGGTTACCCATTTTATTTTATCCAAGGTGGTGGGCATAGCTGAAAAAAGGACAATTTTCATTATATTTAAATGTGTGAAACTTCGACACGTTTGTGCGATTCAACGAGGCGCTCAAATACCCCAACTGCGACCAGAGTTCTTGGCATGAGAAAAAGTCCCATAAATGAAATTGATACAGGATATGTACCAACATAACATAGGCCAACCTTTCTGAACAGAACTAATATTCTAAACTATGTATTTTTTTCTCAAAACTTGCTCCTATATTGCACGTTGCAACTAAATCCCAATGTATGTTAAATTTGATAATGTAACTTCTTTTTTCTTCCTCAATTTTTCTTTATTTCTAAACTTCTTCAAAATAGAGTCAAAAGTTTTATTCCCTAGTTACAGGTAAAAATGTGAAAGAACCACGTAAAATAGCGGTTCCCATTCTCGCTACTGTATCTTTGTATCCAATGCATTCGGTTCCACTGACACATTGACCATTAAATCACAACCTTTTATGGCTCGTGGCCCCCTTCATGTAGATTTCAGCACTCCTGTGCCCCTGTTTATTATTCTAGAGGTATTTATAGCGTTTTTTTATTGCCATATTCCAGATACCGTTAGGTTCAAACAATTCATGCTCAACAAAGTGAAAACACCCAGTGAAACAACTGTGTTCAGCATTGAAACTAGAAAGAACGGGGAGATTTCGTGTCAAGTGAAAAGTAAAATCAGGTTTGTGCCTAGCATTGTAGCCTCCTCCAGCTGGTTTGGGGCCTCCTTGGCGGGGCCTCGGATTGGGAACGGCTGGCATTGACAGAAAGAAAGAAGCAGTGCCTTCACTAGTCACTCTTTTAAACTAAGAATTTTCGTTGTGTAGGGTAGGCTATAATTGGCTTTTTCATAAACGTTTTCTTGATCGTAATAACCGACCGTGTCAACCGATACTGCACGCTATGATTGTCTAAATTTACACTGACCTTTGAGTTCATAATTTCACCCAGATATCACCTTTGAGCGCGCGCAACTTCGATCAAGTTTTTCTGAACAAATACAACTATAGCCAATAATGCATCTGAATCTACTTACCAATGATACCCCGCAGATAATATCCCCGTTTAATCAAGATCTCATTTTCTTCCATTTTTGAGGTCGCATTTTGCAAAGAACGGTTTGACATTTCCATTTTTACTTTTCGTTTAAAATTGGCAAAATTCATATTTGAAATCAAGAATTTCACCTATTTGTTTATTTTTAAAAATTCACTATGACGTCATAGAAAAAATTTAGCGTTTCGTTTTTATGAGTTAATTTTATATTTATTTGCTGACTTTGACTACTAAGAGGAAGCTTCCGTAAGTATAGATTTTGATTTGGATATTAGGTCGCGAAAGCGGACTCATTCTGGGAAAGAGAAATATAGGACGACACTATGTAGAATGTATAGATTTTTCCTTTTGAGCAGTGGTTTTCAAACTTTTTGAGCCGCACCCCCATTTAGAATTCACGAAGTCTCGCGCCTCACCTCAAAAATGACCAGCTAACAATGAAATACAAATAACAGATAGTAAGGCTAAAGTTTGTGTTGTTCAAAAACACGCTGAAAATACGTAGATTGAACATCAAATACCAAAATAGAGAAATGTAAATATCCAAAATAATGATAGCAAGATCAAATCTAACAATTATTTCAATTAGGCTCGTTCAGATTGAATTACCCAGCGGGGAGGATTTACCCCGTGGGTCGTTTTCCCATGTCAGCATTAATCGAATCAATGGTATGGACTTGAATTCATTTGCGAAGAGTTCTGCAATCTTTCGCATATAATTAAATATTAAATATATTATACGTTAAAAATTGAGTTAATTTATCTTCTCATTTTCGACAGTATACTCGATGATGTCACGAACTGATATCAGTATTACTTATGCTCCATTGGAGCGGAAGAGGGGGTACACAGACTTGGCAAAACAGTACGGACAAATTGATTTAGAGAAACCTAGCGGATCTGATGAAACAAAAATTGATCAAAATACCACGATAAAGGTAATGAACCAATTTTATTAAATTTGTCGCTCTAAAAAGTCTTTAAACAAGGCATTATTAGAGTAGAATGAGAGTGAATTTCAAAAATGATTTTTAATATAAGCCCTCCCATTAAAACAAGCCCTAGTTGATAGGTAGGTCTTATTATATATGGAAATTCTCTACTTTGTAATTTTATTTTTGATAAATGAAAATAAAACACATTTTTCAAAAATAAACCTTAGTGTTATTTTTCCAAAGAAAATGAAATAAGACTTTGTCAACGCGGTAGTTGGGGTTGACATAGGAGTTGAACTCAAGTTTTACCTATCGTTTTTATGCAGCTGGTAGCTATAATTTTTTTTAAACTACTAAGCACTCTCTTGTATTCTATGGATTCCCGCGTGTCTTATTGTATCCAAATTCTCGGCCAAATGAGCACTTATTTATTTGGGCGCTACCGGAGTGTTTGTACCAATAGAGAGATAACTCACTAGTACGGTACTAGCATCACGGCACAGGGACTATCCTTTCCAGGATCTATAACAATGATCAAGTCCTCAACAAGAATAACAACAACATAATAACAAAACGATCCAAAAAAGTCCACCCCGTGTCTGGAAACCGTGTGTGTAATCGCCCACCACCGCAACAAAATGCATTCATGGAACCGACGATCACTCGGGCTTGCTTAGCCATCCAATCCAATCTAAAATGAATACCTGATTATGGTTATGTCGACTTATCGGATTTATTTTCCTATGGATAAATGTAAAAATCCGATTTCATACCAATCACCAATCTTTTTTCATTACTCTTTACGTAGGAAAATACTTATGACATCAGCAAAAAAAGACGTCATAGATTACATCGTAAGAAGCAAACAACTAATTTAGGAGAAGGAGGAGAAGTAATGACGTCATCTGGGGACAAAGACGCAAAGTCAAAAAATATTACGTCATATTCAGAACATCTCCACGAAGGGACACATACTGCCTGCCAAAAGGACTCCGGTGAAGGATTTAGAAACAATACAAAAAAAATATGAAAAATTTGATAATTTTTGTTTGGTATGTAGTCGGGATTGGTAAAATGAAATTGTACATGCGTAGTGGTGTAGTATTTTAATTCGAATACTTGATGATTTCAGAATATAATCGAATGCAATCGAATCGTTTGCATGAAAGTGTTGTTATCATTGCATGTTCGGATATGCAAAAAGAATGCTCTTATATTAGCTATCAAATATATCACGGATTAAAATAAATCTTGCTCATTAGAAAAGTGAACTATTTTAATACACAAGCTATTACCTGCATCCAAACTGCCACATTTGACGAATTTTCATACAAATTATCTTTCGACATGACTTTCGTTTTAAAATTCAGACAGCTTTAGCAAATACTGAAACTAGAATCTGAAACTCAGTCAAAAATGATTTGCAGAATATAAACGAATATTATGTCTAGAAATAAATCCTTCAGAATTGTTTCATTTCCAAGAAGTTGCTACAAACTGACTATGTAGTCAACTACGGACGAAAGTTATGAGAAAGGAATATAAAAATTGCGAACTCGATGAAGATCCTACAAGACTCCAAGTCGTCGTAAGCCAGAATCCGACGACAACTCTCAATTGTGTTATCACTGAATTTCTCAGATTTTCTTTCTAACTTCAATCTGACGGAATTTCAAATTTAAGCCTATTACACAAACTAGTAGTTTCTTGTTGTACAATTTCATGAATATATTTTAGTACAATTTTGCGTGAGATCAATATTGCGTGAAAATGTAATTACACGCACGTAGATTAAGGCAATCGCACACCAGAAGCAAGTTTTTTTCTAATTGAGAATATTTGAGGATACACGAGTGCCTTTATTCATTTTACCATGCAATCCTCCATTGTCACCTCACAATCAAATTATTTGTTGGGAGACGCGTTTATTGCACTTTAACCCCAACAGCTATCGTAATTGTATCGAACAGGAAGTTCGGCAGCAATCGCGCAGTTTACCATTTGATTGAAATACCTGAAGTGCATATGAAACGACACAGATTACGTCGTCGACGACTAATCTAATTAATTCTGAGACAGATTGTTTGAAATTCCTCTAGTCTCAGCTAAGGCTTCAACTGAGTTGAAGATGATCGATCTTTATGAGGAAGACCAACTGAAATAAGCTCAAGGAAAGGGATCATTGGGTTATGGAAAAGTATGCCAATAGAAAAATACTCCAATGTCAAAAGAGCTGCGCTTAAGATATTGTCAATGTTTAGGTCAACATACGTCCTCGAAACTGTGTTTTCTATCATAACACACGTGAAATCAAATCATTGTTCTGTTCTGACTGATATTTGTGTGAATAATTGCTTCGGTTGGCTACAACGACATACAGGCCAAATTTAAAGAGAATCGTTCAATCCAGGGAATGCTAGAAGTCCCACTAATTGGCATGCATAACAATAAATGGCTTGCAAATTTTTGTCATAGCCATATTGGTTAGTGACATTTGCAATGAAACTTCATTCTAGCAGAGCTGAATAAAGGTATATCTGATGTTCATGTGGTTCCTGTGACCAGATTTTAAATTTATTTTTTACATATGACTGCTCTTTCAGGTTTTTTGTTTAGAGCGCACGTTGGAAGACATCGAGAACAAAGACAACCATAGACGGAATTGGCCTTCTGGGCATACCCCTGCTTGAACCCGGTGCATTATACGGCAATCGCTTATAACGCTTTTACGACAATTACACAATGCTTGACCATTAGCACGGCATAAAGATATCTGATAGTCTGAGCATACAGCAGGTCAAATAGTGTAATCGCGTAAAATCAATTATAGATTTGTTGAAATGGCCTATTTGTTCTAAGCACTCGTCAGTACAATGTCCTAAGCTGGTGGAACTTTCTGCGCCCGGAGGAATTAAAAATTCAAGGCGGTAGGCGTAACATCCAACTAACATAATGCCAATGTCATTTTGGCGTAATGTGGGCGTGTAGGTGAACCAAAATCCCGAATTATCGCGTGCTCCCAAAAACAAAATTGAATGAGCTTTTTTCCTCAAAGTTCAATAGATTGATTGTAATTGCCGCCTAAAGTATGTGCTGTATATTTAAAAAAAAAACTCAAGAAGCATGTTGTGTTTTCCCAGTATTTTGATCGTGAAAAGACAGGTAGACCCATTGCTAATGCGTAAACTAAAAATTATCCAATAAAGTAAATATCTGCAACTATTTTATAGTTTGTCGAGCGTATTTACCAGAAATCAAATTTGGAGTATCGTAATGTAATGTATGTATGTCCAATTGTATGGACACTGGATATGCATATATATGAATAGGTTTAAAACAATTTTCTATTTAATTGATCAGATTACTATCATTTTTATCTTTTACAAATGAGTTGTACACCAATTGTTCCTTAAATTTCATTTAATTGAAGTTTACTATTACTAAGTAATGCAACTTATGTTCTTATCCTTAGTGTGTATGGTTTTCGTAATCACTGGCATTCATTTGCCGACTATATTTTGTTTCGGAAACAATGTTCCCACTCCAGCTTTAGTGCTGGGATCTACATTGAGATTATGCATTCGTATGTGAAATAATTTACCACGGGTTTTATGGAGAAACAATTATATTAGTATTGGACATTTTCATATATTTTACTTCTAGAATGTCACCACATCTATACATAATCATGTGATGTACAAAAAGTTCATTTTCAGTTTTAATTATTGATTTCCACTAAAAATAGAATCGAAACAAGTATTAGTTATAATGCATGAACATGTACAGTTGATATTATAATTGAAATAGATTGTTGTTCCAACGAATGTGCATGAACTGTACTTCAACGTTGCGTAGTTTATTAGTTTAATATAAAACAACACATTAGGTATTTCTTCTGTTTTCAAACTGACACAGATCGAAGACGAATTTAAACTGGTAATTTTGCACTGTTGCATAAAATTATTAATCTAGTAATTTATATTAGGCATTTTAGTCATGTATAACAATGTAAACATCTGCTTAAAATTAAATCTCAATAACATAACATTATCTCGTTTTTCATCAAATTCGAGAAGCTTATAGAGTTTGCAATTGTAATACGTATCTTCTAATGCACTGGTTCTCAATTTGTGGTACGCGTACCACTAGTGGTACGCGGGAGCTTTTCAAGTGGTACGCGAGCATATTTGAATTATTGCAAAAATTAATAACCTTTGGTTGGCAAAAATATGCCGGCAAAGCTTCATCTTCCCTACTATATGTATTCGCTAAGCGTTTATGGATGTTTTCCTAAGCTTCAGTTTCCTTGTTTATTTCCGTAACTATAACCAATCAGTAATAAGTCAATAATGACGCAACAGGTAACAATTGCAATTGCTGCAACCAGCCGCTCAGACACTTTTGTCGCCCAAACAGATATTCAAGCATGATGGTTGCAAACATTGCCTCGTTTTTGTAGTTTTGAGTGATTTTTGTCAGTTTCCAGTTGTGTTTCAAGAATATAATTGTGAATTAATTAACTCATTATGCCTTCCGCGGAGCTTTAATTTAGTTGCAGTAATTAGAAATTGAGTCTCGCAAATGCTGCGATAAACAAGGCTAAACTTAGCTATATATATATCAGTATCTGCAAACGGCACATGGTTGATCAATTTTATTACAAACGATGGTTTCAAACACGTAAACCAGTTTATATGCGCCAACACATCAAAACGTTCTCAGAATAAGTATAAAGTTTGCAATAGTAAAGTATAGGAATAAGGGCCAATGGTCGGGGAAACGTCCATAGTGATGGTGCGCTACCAGTCATTGACTTAGAGATCGCCCACGTCCGCTATTGCCGACCTTAAATGAAGCGATAGGGGCATGTTTTTGTCCGTTTTGCGTGTTACGCCACAAGGAATGATGTGCCACATTATGAAATACTTCCATAGCACGTTTCTTGTGCCTTTTTCCTCACGCCAAAAAAGGGGCTTTGTCGGCGGTACGCGGCCATAGTAAAAAACAGTAAAGTGGTACGCGGTCTGTAAAAGGTGAGAACCACTGTTCTAATGGGATAGGAAATTCTGTTGCTAGAACATCAAACGTTTTGTATTCAGGTTCAATCAGAAGGTCAGTTGTAGTGCCGGAAGACTGTAGAAAAAACAGGCTCTGCACACCTGAAATAAGACAACAGTAAATTTCAGAATGCATATGTGTCGCATGAAAATATTTAAAGATAGTTCGGTTTATAATTATCGAAGTATTAAAATAAATTAAAAATATGAAACTAGACTAATAGTTTTCATCCAGAGTTTTGTGGCATCCTAGGTTGCCGATCGTACTGTTCAGGAGTTCCGCAAGTTTCTGTTCAGATCCGAAAATCTATATTATATACGAAAATTGACCGAATCTAATCAAATAGTTACCTGTTACTGTTTTGTTAAACTTGTTACATTCCAACGATCCTTTTTGACAGTATCAGAGGTCCCTCGAGCCTCTGGAATGTTTTATTGGGGTTCTGAACCGCTAAATAAAATTGAAAACCATAACACTAGAATATATCGGTTTACGGAAGAGTTCCCAACTTGACTAATTTAGAATCTCTCTCAGAAGGAAAAAAAATCTTGAAAGACGAAATCAGGTCAAATTTCATTTTTGTTGACAGTATCATACCATGAACAATAGAACTAGATACATCTACTTTTACAAAATCTAATAAACAAGGCAAAACAATACAAGTAAACATCATATTAGACCACAGGTCTGTTTCCACTTGAATAAATACGGTCTGTTACAAAGCAAACGATGTTACTTTTAGCGAGGACTGGTGCACTTCGTTAAAAATTCACAATTCATCTGATAAAAAACTTTATTTTATTGCTGACATGCTATGAAACTAGCAAAATGTGAACGTGTGACTATTTCATAAAACTATATAGGTATTTACTTTATTGCATACAATATTTTATATGCATCATACTCACAAAGTAGACCTATGAATTGCTTTGCTAAACTATTGTTACTGTTGGTGTTTTTTCCCTTTTAATCACGAGGAACACTTATATCCTATGGGAACGCTTTCATCCATCGTACCAGTACTCACTACTCTACTAATATGCGTGTCATCAAATTTCCAATATATATAATAAAATGTTTCCGGATCTCAACGTTGCAGAATGTGCATAACTCTTACTTGGACTTATTTGATCTTGTACGGCTGTAAACCACGCTACTATGCAATAATTCCTTGTTTATTTCACTCTATATCAAAACAGAAGTAAATATTAATATTTCTTCCATGCACGCATTTTGTATAAACAACCGAATACATTGATGCAAAAAGTTTATCACGTCAACAATGAGATTTTGAACCCTTCCTAGAATTGAAGGCAGTCGTCGCTATATTTTTTTTCTCACGAAAGATAAAGTGGCACGCAAATGCTTTTCAGCATATAGTTTATTTAGAAAAATTAAAAAGATATAACTCTGCTAACATATGAAACTCTATTCTAGCATATTTCTAAAACCCTGAATTAGAATTATAATATGAAAAAAAGTTCATGTGTAGGCCTACATTTTAAAATCAATACCAAGCTCGCGTGCAAACTCCATTTTAACACATTTATTGGTTTGTTATTGCAAACATGATTCCACAGAAATATCTACATGCACAGTCTCTCACACAACTAGCCTCTAAAACGTTCTAGCAACTCAAATACTAAAACTTTTCTTCAATTGAGAACAAAATAATTTTTATTAAAAATATCTTACTTTTCTCGTTACCCTGGAGCTCATAAAGCATAAATACAAGAATATCGGTCAGAGATCGAAGACTTATCGATCGAAAGTTAGAGAATTCCCCAAAACAGAAACTGCGGTTTCGCTTCATCCGCTCTTACTCCACAGCGACACCGTGTGTCCCATCACTAATAAATTACTAACTTGCTAATTATAGGACATAATTCATCAAAAATCAATAGGCTTTTGGTCCGACATAAGATGAATGCACATGCAAAATCTGGAGCAGATTTAATCTCGCTTTCGTGAGATATCAACATACTTACCGATTAAAATCGATAAGTAATAACGTCAATTTCAAGCCATAAAACTACGTTGTCAAAGCCATTTGACCTAAGAAACTAACCTTGTAACATGAGAATTTTTCCCTTTCTTGCAACATACTCGTATACCTTTATGTACATCAATAAACATGGGAAAATATCGCGTGATTGGTAATCGTAGACAATGAAATTTTGGGTAAATAGTCGGGGTAAAAAAATTCCCAAAACTTTTTTTTTATCTCAGACATCGTATATTTATACGGAAGAGAAATTGAATACTCTACCAATTACTGAATAACGCTGTATTGGTTGGATGTCGGAACATGTTTCTTACATTGAACAGAGTTAATATAGTATAAACAAATCTGAGTTTAATGAAGAAATCTTTATTTTTCTGTATACATTGTAAACAGAGTAGAAAATATCGATATCTAGAAAAATCTACCGTTTAAAGTGAATCAGGATTTGGAACGAATTCAACAAATTCAGTAGCTTTGCGTTTGTGAAAAAAATTCAAATGAAGTTATGTCGAAGGTTGTTTCTCTTGTTCAATTAAGACCGCCATTTGAGGAAAAGTAACTGCGAGTGAAATGAAAAGCCACAAACAACTATTGGGTGAAAAAGAGCACCCGTATCCAAAGCTATACCACAATTAATGGCACATCAAATTATAGTAATTAAGATACCATCTGGTATTACATGCAGTACACTTTTCATTCTGTATTTATTTTATTGCCAATATACAAGTTGCGGTTCCATCAACTGGTGATAACACGCTTGAATTCGAAAGTTCCTTATATCCCCACACATATGATACTCGCAAGATGCAACAACTGATTTTGCTTAGTTTTTAATTGATATGTAAATATGCATCCCAGCTTAAAAGGGTACAAATGATGCTTTTTTATATATGTATGGCGGTGTTAGCGGTGGGAGTGGAGAGTCAAATGAGTCCGAGTGAGAGTTACACACACTCTGCTACGTTGAGATCTGGAAACATTTTATTGTATTGGAAATTCAATGACACTCATATTACGTTTGAGGCAAGTATGATTGAAACTGAAATTTAATCCTAAAAAATATTGATTGGCGTCATAAATATTGGTTTAAATATGAGAATGTTTATTTTTCTAAATGTAGCAAACGCAACTGTGGTATTTATGTATTTATAAATTAAACTTATTGTGTAGCATAAAAACTCAATTTCTCTGTATGTTTGTTTAAAGTGGAATAATCCGTCTAAGACGAAGTTCTATTTAGTTCATTACTAATTAATGTTTTGCAGGTGATTGGACAGACAACCGGGTGGATTGGAATCGGATTTTCACCAAACGGAGCTATGACAGCATCTGATATTATTGTAGGATGGGTGAAAAATGGAATTCCTACAGTGATGGTATGTACCCTGCAATATTTTGTTTTATAAATGACACGCATGTTTTTTTTTTACAAAACATACATATTCTCAAGTGATAGGATAACTACGATGTTGAGATTGATATAATAACCAAACATTTATATAAAAACATTTGTAATAAAATATTGCAACCAAATGAAAGAACCTCTTCAAACTTGTTTCGACAAATCATTCAGTATAGAAAAGACCACTTGTTATATTATTCAATTTGCAGGACAGACACGGAGGTTCATCGAACACTTACCCACCTCTTGACCCCGAACAAAATATTGAAATACTGGGAGGTGCAGAATCAAATGGGTGGACAATGTATAAATTTTCGCGTCAGATTGCTGCCTGCGAGAGTGCTTATGATAGAGAGATCACGGTACAAATTGTTATTATAGATAGTTATTATTTTATATTAGGGAACCTAATTTTTGACTGTTATTATTCTGTTTTTAAATATATATAGTCAAACACGGAAAAATTGATTTGGGCATATGGTGACGCCGACCCTACAGGAACAGATCTTGTCACGGGTGATAACCATGGAACAAAAAGAGGTAATAGGTTTTTCAATTTATCTTTCAACTTTGTCCCAATATTTCTTTTTTGTAAGACTATTCATGAGAGGTAATATTATGACATCATTTCTCGATCATGTGATAGCAACCTTCGTGCCATTTATGCTTCTTTCAGTGTTTGCTTTTAGAAATTAGAGCAAAAATCTCTTATACTTCGTGATTAAGGTTATATACTCATGGGGCCCATTCACACATGCCGTTATTGAACAGTTTCATTGTTGATTTTGAGATTTGAACTATTGTTTAACTTGACATTGGGTAAACATAACACAAAATCATGCAATACCATGAAAATCGAAAAAGACAAAGTGCGGGAATTACGAGGGTTTCGACAAAGAGTTACGCGCGCTTTATAACCCATTGAAAAAATGCTTGATCATCGTCATAACTTCTGTAATATTTTGTAAGTAAAACTAATAATGAAATCTACGGTATTGTGTAAAGAAAAACATTTTATGAATTATCCACCTTTACATTGTAAATAAACGGTCTGGGCTGGTAAGGGTGAGCAGTATAGTGACGAAAATAAATATTTTAAGGCCGGGAGATTCATAGTTTTCAGAGCTTTCAATTTCAACTAAAAATACATCTATTGTCAAAAATTGTTAGTGTGTATTTTGACAAAAAGTATTTATTACTAGCACATGCACATGTTCTTACTTATATTCACCTGAGAATGCGAAGGTATATACTTGAGATTATCTGGTAATCAATAGAATACGCCAATACTGATTACGCAGAATGTAACCACATTATATTATTCAATTATTCTTCAAAATATTGTGAACTAATACTACTACTGTGAAGTGCGAGATTGCCTTGAGCTGACGTTCATGATCGCATGCTCATATCGTTCCCCCCAGTCCATGCGTAGAAAAGTATTTCCTGTTGCTTCTTGTCAACAATATAATATTCTCTCTCCCTATTATTATGTGCTGTTGAACTTCCTAGTAACTGAGTATAATTATTTAACTACAGGAGTAGAAAGCATGTATTTTCTGCAATCTTCCGGAGTTCCAACTGGTCTTCCTGTCGGACCTGTATACAACACGTTTGAGGTTCTGGCAACAGAATTTACTATCCCATCAGAAGATACATATTACAATTGCAATCTCTATAAGCTTCCGGATTTTGGTGGAAAACAGCATATGGTTAAGGTATTGCAAACGTTACCATTGCTTTCTTCGAATTTATAATAATAATAATGTTGTCATATTCTCGATGTGATCCGATACATGTTTACATGACGTAAATTTTTTCTACTTTGCAGTGGGAACCGATTATTCAAGCTGGAAATGAACTCCACGTACACCACATGATTGTGTACAGATGTGGTGACATGCTAGAGGTGAGACATTTTAAACCTAAGTAGTTTTAGGAAAGCGCTTTAGATTCCCTTTTTTTGCAAAAGATAATCATTTGAAAGAGCTTTGGATTAGTAATTTCATTCACTGTAAAAAATTTTATCCAATAAAACAAATCTATAATTATACATATTAAATGTTATACAATTATTTTTGTGAATGGCGTGAATGGTGTCGTGAATAAAATATGGTGCAATAGTATAATTTAATACCCAATTTTGTTAAATTTATTTTCAGAACGAATCTGAACTGGGACAGGATGCCAGTTGTACTTCATCAAATATGGCTCATTTTGCCACTTGCTCGGTTATCATTCTTGAATGGGCAGTTGGAGCAGGGGTAACAAGTTAACTACCCTATTTTTTATTTCTCGGATTAAGATATCAAAAATATTTTTAATAATTACCACTTCAGTCAAATTATTACCATTATTAAAACCACATCTATCTGCAATCAGGTAACATTTTGCTGCATTTAAGGATCCAAACACTTTTACGCCTGAACTATTGAACAGATATAGATTTTTTTGTTGTAATGTGTTTATGAAATATGAGTGAGGATTTTAGAGTTTCTACATTTTTTGAAAGTATATTGAATTATACCTAGTAAATCCATTTATTTTATCATGGTCTTCAGAGTTTCTGTATTACCATATTAAAAAGAGATGCAAATTGAAACATATTTTAGGCAATGATATACCCCGAGGAAGCTGGTTTTCCTGTCGGTGGACCAGAAGATCCAGTGTACATACAGTTGGAAACACACTACGATAATCCAAATATATTATCAGGTAAAAAATTCGTAGACATTCTTGGAGTATATTTGAGACATATTATACTTTTTGTCACCGCTAAAATAATAAAATACAAAATAAATATGGATTTATTGATCGATTAATAAATGAGTTAGTTTTAATTGCACGAAATTCCCTTACATATTTACTGTCTCTTTCTTGTATAATATTTATATTGTCTTGAAACTATTTTCTAATATAATCACAACCAAACAAAATTAGAAAAGAAAAAACTAAATGCATTCCAAATTAAAAGTTTCAAACTTTCTCGAACAGAGAATATTTTTTGAAATGTTTAATAAAATGCATTCTGAGTAATATTAGTTCAATATGATCAAAAGCTTTGGTATTTATAAAAAAAAATGTTTTATAAAATGCATTCTGAGTAATATTGGTTCAATATGATCAAAAGCTTTGTTATTTATAAAAAAAAACGC